CACGGCATTCAAAAGCTGCATTGGAAGGAGCTGCTGCCCTCCTTCCTCTGAGTTGTCATGGAAATGATGATGGATGGGGAGGAAGATACTGCACTTGCCAAAACCAAACCTGCTCACAGCCCCTTCTGCAGGTTTCCAAGGGACCCCGGACCACTCAGGATGGATGGGGATGACCCTGCGTTGGTTTAAAGGGGCCCCACAGGATGGGGAAGCAACATTTCCAGGGACGGGGATGCAGAGGTGCCTCAGTCTGCCCCGACACGCTGTCACTAGGAGGAAGGAAACCCCATAGGAGAAAAGCACTGACGCCGATGCCCGGTGCAGGCAGGGATGCTCAGCACACCTGGGGCAGCGAGGCGAGATGCCCAGCCCCATAAATTACCCAACTGACATATGTAGGACAACGCCTGCAATGCCAGCGTGCCCACGACCTACTTTTGGAATTTACATCCATGAAGCCACGTGTAGGGGTGGCGCTCAGCTCCCGTGCCATGGGCAGCTCCCCTTCCTGGCACATCCCGCGTTACTCATAGGGAGCGACTCAGAGCTCCATCAGCTCGGTTACAGTCCCTGAAAGCAGGCGAGAAACAAACAGCAGATGCAAGAGGAGGCATCCCTCATTTGATGCCTCTTTTCTCCATTCGAAGCAGTTTCTGTAGTGCCCAACTGCTGAGAACACAGCAGGATGACACAAGAGGAAAGAGAAGCGTGCTCTCTGGCTTTCCTCTGTCATGACCAGAGAGGGCAGAGAAGGGGGTGGGGGGGCGAGAAAGAGAAATCTATTTTTTCTGCAAGAGGGTGGTCGGGACATTGCCAAAAGGGCCAGCATCCCCCAGGGGATGAGCATCCCAACGTGGGGTTGGGTACCAGCATCCTTGCAGGATGATAGGCACAGCATCTCCATAAGGTGATGGGGATCCCAACCCCACGTAGGGATGCCATACCCATGAGAGCTGGACACAGCACCCCCGGTGCAGGCTGCTGCTGAGTCACAGCCCCCCGTGCTCACTCCAACCAACACCCCAGCATCCCCCACATCTGCAGCCCCTCACAGCCCAGGAGCTGTCAGGGCAGGAGGGAAACGGAGGCAGAGCGATGCCAGGAGTGGGTGAGCACAAAGCCAGGCAGTGAGATGCTGAGGGAGCAGCCCCAGAGCTTCACCCACCCCTCGCACTGCCCTAGGGAGGAGACGTTTCTGCCCAGTGAGCTGGGCCTGGACGTCACCCTGTTCTGTAGGACAGGAGGCTGCAGCCCCAGCAGAGGATGAGAAATGCTTGGAAAAGAGCTGAGCTGTACGCTGGAATTACACACAAACCCTGTGTTTGGGCCTTTTTTTGATCCCCCTCTAATTGCTCCTGCTATTTTAACTGAGACAGACATTTCCTTGGTGATTTTCGAGGGCTATAAATGTTTTATGCCCCTGGCACGGCTGATGGGTTCCCTTCAGCTCCTTCCTCTATGGCACTGAGTGCCTTCACCTCCCTCCTCCTCCTCCTGGAAATCAAAGCACCCCTGGGGGTGCTCCACACCAGGACCTGGGGAGCACCCACCTCTGCACGAGCATCTCTGGGGCGTGAGGGTGGCAGCTTTAAGGGCAACAGCGCAGGGATATTCGGGATTCCTTCTGCAGGGTCCTGTATGTGGCCTTAAAAGCCTGAGACGGATGCTTGGAGAGCAGGAATAAAAATGTTTAGCCCTGAATTGAAGGTAAAGAGGGGGGGAGGGACTGACTGAATTGCCCCAATTACAGCTCCAAACTTAATGATTCTACAGTACTCAGCACTCAAGCCATTGCCCCACTGATGGCTGCACGGGGAATGGTCCCCAACCAGGGCAGTGCTGGGGACACCTCCATCCACTGGGACAATGCAGTGCATGGGGACACCCCAATGGCTGGCCTGCTTGCGCCTCTGCAGCCCCACTCCACAGCCTAATTGAGGCCTGCTGGGCTGCTAACTATCCAAACCTGCTGTCTGCTGATAAATGGGGAGAAACAGCTCCTTTTCGTGCCAGAATAAAACAAAGCAAGCAATTACATGGGCTGGGCTGAGAGCAGAGGCAGCCGGGTGGCACAGTGCAAGTCTCAGCATCTCCAGCACACGTGGTCCTCAGTGGGATGCTGACGTCCTGTGACCTTTGGCAGTGAAGTGGGGCTAATTAGAGCCTAATTAGCACTCATGGATACAAATGGAGGGGGTTCTTCATGCCACAGCCCCTTGACAGCCATACTAGGGACGAGGAGGAACATCTCCCCCACTACCCCAACCAGGAGAGGGAGAGGAGGAGGAAGCAGCAACACCAGTGGCAGCTGTGGGGCCACTGCACGACACACAGGCATTCCCCAAAGCCCCAGACGGCTCCGAGTGGGCAGGGAAGAAAGTGCCCCACCATCAACCCAGTGCCAACACATCCTCCAAAGCCATCCGACCCAGCTCAGGTCCCTCTGCTGTACGGCCCAGCTTGCTGCAACTCCAAAAAAGGGAACCCCGCTCTCTGCCAGACCCAGCTGAAAGCGCAGCCAGAGCTGCACAGAATCACCCCATTTCATCAACAAATACCTGGCAGCTCTGCCTTTTTCCATTGGGACGGGGCCAGGGCTTCAGAGCGGGCCGAGCGCCGTCCTCCCTCCCCCCAAACTGTCACCTCTGGTGTCACCGCAGCCCCGTCCTCTCACCATTCCTTTGGCAAACGCACGGGCAGCACGAGAGGGAGAAGGAAAATTAAAGGCTGCGTGGTGCCAAAAAGCCTCCAAAAGAAGGGAGAAAAAAGAAAGTCATAAATTTCTCAACTTAAAAAAAAAAAACAACACAGATTTTATGTAGAAGTCCATATTTGACCACAACTCCCACTCTCTTTTCCCCAAAAATCGCAGCTCTTGGGTGTATTCCTGGTGTATCCAAGGGATGCTCGTGTCGGCAAACAGCGTGCAGGGGCAGCACGTCCCTCTCAGCACTTTGCAGCAGTTATTCCACCCGACCAATGCTGCTCATGGAACAGCTCTGCCTCCCCCCCTCCTCTTCCTCCTCCAGAAAACAGCATTTTTTGGCTCATAAACTCTCTCGCCAGCAAGTTCCGCTCAGCACTGCCCCAACCCTGGGAGGCAAAACTGCACTGGGGCCACACGCCCCGAGCATCCTTCTGCAAACGGAGCATTTCCCCCCATTTCTCAGCAGTGCAACCTTCGCTTCTCCAGGAAAGAAGCGGCAGCCCTGAGATCTCCACTGTTATTTTTATCCGAAAACGAGCACTTTGAGCAGCAGCCAAGCTGTGGGGAGGGAGGGAGGGAGATGTTTCACATTGTGGGGATGTAAACACGGCCCAACTTCCCAGCTCAGGGCTCACATCGTGATGCTGAACGTGGGCAGGGAGGCACTGGGTGGCATTGCCATGGGGTAACACTGCTCACCCCAACTGATGCTGTCCTCCTGCTCCACGCGTTCCCCAAAAGCGCATCCCTGTGCCCCCCCCACTCAGACCCATTTCTTCCCAAATCCAAACCCAAACTCGGTGCTCAGAGCGGTGACCCCCTGCTGCTGCCCTTTCTGCCCTTTGCCCAGCGCAGCCCCAACCCCTCAGATCCCATCCCACCCCACAAAAGGCTTTTGCCCCTCTCGGCTTTGCACGAGGAGCTCGGCATAAATGTCACATTAATTAACTGAGGGAGATCTCTGCACGGCCACAAAAAGCCCTCTGTTCCGCCCTGCTCCCTGCCTCCCACCTCTGCTTTCCCTGCAGATGCCAACATGCAGAAGCCGTTCAAATCCCCTCCTCCCCCCCAAGAGTCAAGCTGAGACCTCACACGCTCACTGCGTGCCACGCCATTCAGATCTCTGCAGACCTCACAAAGGGAAAATCCCACAGCACCGGGCTGGCAGCCCCAGCACAGAGCCACCCCACACTCCGTGGTCGGGACCCCATCACTGACCCAGGGTGGAAGCTCATCCCCTTCCCTGCCCTCCTTCCATCTTCCATCTTCCCTTCTCCCCGGCTCCCAGAACCACTTTTGGATTCTCAGGTGCCTTTATGGGGTTGAGCTCATTCCCCGCTCCATAAGCCCAGCAAAGGGTTCCAGACCTCAACCTCAGCCCAAAGCAATGCTGTAAGGAGGGGGTGGGCAGGGATGGCCCAGGAGTTCTCAGCGCTGCCTTCCTCAGCCCCAGTCACATCAGCGGGGGGATCCAACATTGGTGCAGTGTCACCACGTCCCCATGCATGAGGCGGTGGGGGGTCCCCAGTCCTTATCGCACCCCTCTGAAGCCGTCACACACGGGGCTGTTTCCAGGCATTGCCCTCACCCTGCAGCCTCCAAGAAGAGGAGAAAAGCGGAGACTTTGTCCAACACAACCGAACAACATAGCAGTGATGGCAAAGAGCAGCAGAGCGAGACCTCGCGTCCCTCCTGGTCCCCAGTGAACCCCCAATGAACCCCACAGACCGTTATCCCAATCCTCACATTCACTTCCCCTCAGCCCTCCTGTCTCTGCTCCTCAGCAAACGGCTGCGTTACCACCCACCAACTAAAGATCCCCAGATGGAGAAGAAAGAGAAATGAAGGGCTTCAAGTGGTCCCAACAAGGAGGGATGGAGCGAGCTGCTCCCCATCCGCCCCAAACGAATGGCAAAAATGCAACATTCAGCTGAATAAAGGCTGCTGGCTGCATCACCCACAGCGTGCACAGGGCTGGGCTGCTCGCACATCGCACACCTCAGGGTGCTTTCAGTGAGAGCTCAGCAGCCCCCTCAGAAACAGGCACTTTGAATCTGCTGCTCTGGAGAGATGCAGCCACCACTGTGAGAGCCACGCGGAGCATCTGCAGCCCCGGAGCATCTCTGTGCTCAGAGCACTCCTGGAGCATCACCAAGGCTGGAGCATCACCAAAGCATCTCCAAACCCGGAGCATTCCCGGAGCATCCCTGGAGCATCTCCAAACCCATCTGGAGCATCCCTGATCCTGGAGCATCACCAACGCATCTCCAACCCTGGAGCTTCCCAAACCCACCAAAGCATCCGAACCTTGGAGCATCCCCAGCAGTTGGGCTGCAGGAAGGGAGGTACCAGAAAAGAGAAACCCCATAGGAGTGAGGCAAGCTCGGCGCTATTAAATCCAGCAGGTTGCACACTGGCGGGCAGCCAGAAATGGGGACTTTTTCCTCTAAAAGGGGAAGGGGACGGGAAGGGGAAGGGAAGAGAAAGGAAGGGAAGGGAAGGGAAAGGGAAGGGAGTGGAAGGGAGTGGAAGGGAAGGGGAAGGGGCTTCCCACGCTGATGCTCCGCTGAGCCGAGCACAGTGAGAGCCGCGTGCGGGAGCCGCCGCACGCAGCACCGCCCCAGGACCCGCTCCATCCCGTGCCGGACCCGACGCCCAAATCTTCCCCTGCCAAAAGCGCCCCCGGGGCGGCCAACACCCCAACCCCGCCGGCTTCTCCCGAAGGCGTTTCCCCGTGACCTTCAAACGCCATTCCCCGCAGCCTCGACCCCCCCCCCCCCCCCCGGAGGCCCCCAGCCGCCGCTCGCTGCCGACCCCCACCCACCCCCGGCGCCGCACCCCGCCGTGGCCCCGCACTCACCAGCGCTGCGCGGGCGCTGAGCAGCAGCAGCAGCACCGCGAGGCCCCGCAGCTCCGCGGGCATCTTCGTGCCGCAAGGACGGCTCAGCAGCTCGCGGGGGCGGGGAACGGCCTTTGTTGCCGCCGCCCTCCCCGTCCCCTCCCCGCACCGCCGCCCCGCTGGAAGCGCCCGGCCCCGCTTCCCCGCTCCGCCCGTGTGCGGAAACCGCCCCGCCCCGCAACGGCCCCGCACACCGCTGTGATGTGATCGGAGCTGGGGGGAGAAGGGGGGTGGAGGGGGGGTGTGGGGGGGGATCAGGGGGTGTCGGACTGGGGTTACCCCGGGGGTGGGAGGGAGAGTGAGGGGCGATGGGGACGATGCGGGGCTACGGGGGAAGGAAGCCGGGGGTTGGGAGGGGAGGAGTGGGGAAGATCGGGTAATCGGATGTAGGGGAGAATGGGAGGATCCAGGGGTAGATAGAAGGGAATAGACTTCAGGGAGGGACTTCGGGGCAGTTAGGAGGGTATCCAGGAGTAGATAGTGGGCTTGGAGGCTGATAGGGAAGGATGCAGGGGGAAATGGAGTGGTATCGGGGGTAGATGAAGGCGATGGGGCATTTAGAGGAGTGGCCAACAGTAGTTAGGGGGCAAGGGAGTAGATAGAGAGGATATAGGGGAGTAGATTAGGGGAGTACCCAGGGGTAGTTAGAGGGGATATGGGAGAAATAGGGAGCATCCAGGAGTAGATGTGGGGGCATGGGGATGACCAGGTGTACCCAGGAGTAGGCAGGGTACCCAGGGCTATGGGAATAGGTGGGGATACCCAGAGGTAGTTAGAGGGGCATGAGGGAAGATAGGGGGTAGTCAGGGGTAGTAGGGGATCATGCGGGCAAATGGGGAGGGTACAAAGGTAGATAGGGGTTACCTCAGCATAGATGAAGGCATGGAGACAGATAGAGAAGGATGAATGGGTAGATAGAGGAGCACCCAGGGGTAAACAGGGGGGCAAGGGGACAGGTGGGGGAACCTAGGGTAGATAGCAGGGCATGGAGAAGTACCCAGGAGTAAGCAGATGGGGGGAACCTAGGGGTACAAAGGGGAGGGGGGGGGCATGGAAAAGCCGGGGGGTAGGGGGGGGAAAGATAGGGAGGGATCTGGAGCAGATTGCTGGGACCCAGGGGCAGATGGAGGGATCCAAGGGTAGAGAGAACAGCACCGGGCAGACAGGGGGCTGGGCTAAGTGGGACAGAGGAAGCAGGGATGAATGGGGAGGGATAAATGAGGGGGACTCAGGGGTGGATGCAGTTATGCAGAGGTGATGGGGAGATCAGCAGATAGGGGGACACGCGGCAGGTGGAAGAGGAGTTCAGGGACAGATCCTGTGGCAGATGGAGGAAAACGAGGGGCAGATGGCGAAGGGACCTGGGGCAAATGAAGGAGGGGACGTGGGGCAGATGGCAACGGGACCCACGGGCAGAGCTGGGGGGGGACGGGAGAGACGTGGGGAGAAGGGGAGAAGGTGGAGCGGGGAGGCAGCCAAAAAAGGGACATCACCGGGATTTAGAAGGGAAATGAACCCAATTCGGCTACAGCGCACGGCCCGTCCCTGAGCGGGGGCACCCAAAGGGGCGGAGGTGAAGCAGATCCCCTCAGCCCGCCCCCAGGGCTCCGCTGCAGCTTCTGTCCGCCTTAATTGTGCAATAATTAACGAGATGCAAATAATAATAAAGGATGCCTCGGTGCCAGCGGGGAGGAGCCCTTTGCTGAGGCTGCACCGCCCCGCAGCGGTTCCCGGCGCTCCCTGCACTGAGCAGCGCGGTGGGGAAACCAGGGGGGAGCGGAGGGGTCACCGAGCCTGGAGGAGTCCCAGGGCCCAGAGTGGGGATGCGGCACTGAGGGACACGGGCAGCGGGCACGGCGGGGTGGGCTGCGGTTGGACTCGGGGATCTTAGAGGTCTTTCCCGTCCTTAATGGTTCCACGTGGTGGGAAACACAGACGTGGGGAGCTTGTGGGTGATGAGCCGGGGTGGTGGGACACGGGTGATGAGGTGGGATGTTCTTCACATAGAGGGAGGCACTGGAACAGGCTGCCCAGGAGGCTGTGATGCCCCATCCCTGCAGGCATTCAAGGCCAGGCTGGATGTGGCTCTGGGCAGCCTGGGCTGCTGTTGGTGACCTGCACACAGCAGGGGTTGGAACTGGATGAGCACTGTGGGCCTTTTCAGCCCAGGCCATTCGATGGACATGGGTGACGTGGTGGGACACTGTGGCCATAACAGGACGTGGGTGAGACATGGCTGACCTCACTGGTCACAACTTGACCCGGTGGGACAAAGCTGCTCTGATGGATGTGGCTGGGTCACAGGTTGATGTGACGGGACACAGCTGATGGGGTGAGATGTGGGTGATGTGGATCACAGGCAGCAGGATGGAGCAAGGCCCGCCCCACGTCAAAGCACCCTTCACCCCACGTCCCCTCCAGCAGTGGCACAAAGCGGGGCTGCAGCACCCAGCTGTGCCCCAGCACTGCTCACAGCCAGCAGCCCGAGCAAAGGTCAGGACAAGGGGTGTGCAAAAAAATGCGGCTGAGGGGGTGGAGCCCCAGAGCTCTTCATCAGGGGGCAGTGGGCCCCAGCAGCTTGAGAAATGTGCAACCGAACCCCAGGTAAAGGTGAGAAACGATGCAGGTGAGGAGGAACCACCCCAACGCTGCCCTCCCTGCCACGGATCGGAGCTGAGCACCGAGCGCCTCCTGGGAACGAGGTCTGCGAGTCAGGAAAGTTTCCACAGAGGTTTGAGCTCAGTGCTCAGCTGAGCCACCACCGCCCTGTGCCTCAGCCACCACCGTGCGCTCAGTGCTGCATCTCATGGCGACCTTTGCTCCTCACGCATCAAACACAAACTGCACAGGAACCCACGCTGCCGAAAGGCTGCGATGGAAGAGAAACAGTGGCTGAGGTTGGAAAAGACCTTGAAGATTGTCGAGTCCAACCACAGCGTCCGAACAGCCCTCCTCTCAACCACGTCGCTGAGCACCACATCCAAACAGTTTCTGAACACTGAGGGATGGTGACTCAAGCACCTGCCTGAGAGCAAAACGAGAGCACAGAGGCAGTGGGGAAAACTTCATCTGCCCCCTGTGCAAGAGCTGCAGCAACCAGGAGCTTGCAGCACAGGCGGATCTTCATTTGCCCCACAGCTGCCCCACAGCAGGGTGCATGGATGCGGTGCTGCCGTTGAGCTCGGAGGCTGCAAGGGCTGTAAGCAGGCTCTGAGGGGAAGAGGCGCCAGGAGCCCAGGATGGGGCAGGGAGCTCTGCCTCCTCCTCTGCTCCACCTTCTCAGGCCCTGCGGAGGGCAGGGGAGGCAGAAGGGAAGAGGCGGCAGGAGGGCAGGAGGCTGAGAGGGAAGGAAGCACCAGGCCAGATTCCAAAGTTCTGTATTTTTCAAAATAAAGATCACACGTTGTTTAGAGACAATCTACACAAGAGTTACAAAAAATAGTCGCCCAGGCATAAGCATACACAGGTTTGTTAATTATACACATATGGTTACAAGTGTGCTTGCAAAAAAGTTCATTGGAAATATACACAAGGCTCTGTAAATGTACACCGTGTAGTGTTACAATTCTATATTCAAACAAGGAAAATTGACAGTATGTTACATTCACTTACAAGTAGACAAAATGCAAAATACAGTTCATCTTCTGTACAAAAAGGGGAGGTGATTCACACTTTACAAGGTGAAAAGGGGTTCTGATTGTAAGGAAAACTAGGGGGGGTTCTGTACTTTTGCACTTTTCGTTTCTTACTGTCACAAAATAAGCAAAACATTACTTTGTAAGAGTCAAAAAAACACTATTCTGAACTGAATTGTTTTGCAGAACATTTAGAAAGGATCGCTACCGCTCAACTAGGTGACAAATAAAACCAAGCATCTTTTTAAACATTAACTAGGCTGTATAAAGAGAACATTTCCTTCAAAAGAAAAAATTTACTTCTGGTTGAAATTACAATTTACAATATACAACACTATATGCTACGACCATAAAAGGTGTGAATATACACTGAAATGCACAGGTTTTGCTAATTCTTTTTTTTTTTCTTACCAAAAAACGGGTTTATGTCGATTCAAACTTCTCCACATTTACATTACAGAGGTTTACAAATGTACAATTGTACAGTCAGAAGTATGTTCCACTACTAGGGTACATTATAGATACAGATCAGACATCAAAACAAGAAAATACTACAAATTTTTATATATGTAAAGTCTACACCAAGTATACACTATATATTTATAGAAGCAAGACCAAAGCCGAGTTGGGTTTGTTTTCCTCATGCTAAATGATCAAATGGTGTCTCTCCCCGTGAGCAGGACAACCGAGCAGGCAGTGAAGGACGCCCGCCCCCCGGCTCCAAACCCCTCCTGGCCGTGCCCCCTCCTGCCCAGACGAGCTCTACGCTACCTCCGTTAGCAAGTTACAGATAAAACAAAAGGAACCCAAAAATAAAGCCATTAAAAAGTTTCAGAAACTTAATTCTCTTTAAACTGAAGCTCCACAGCGAGTCGGTTTTTCTTTTCTCCCTATTTATAACAGCATTTAATGCGTCCCTCGCGCCGCTCAACTAAAACCCAAACTTGTTGCTGACTTCTGAGTCAGAGGAGAACAAGGGGTATCTGCAAAGAGTTGCCTGCAAGGCAGATGGATTAAAAACGTCGTGTTTTGTTTGTACTTCAAACCAACCACCCTGAAAGTTTCCACATTTGGAATATAGATACAACAGTGAACAAAAATGTGGCCTTCCATGTACATTTGATACCTATGTACAAGTATTCTATACACCAGTAAAACAGCAGGGCAATCAGTTAATTAAAAAAAATAATTAGTACATGTTATGCATAATAAAATTAAAGAAATTTACAAAGGCTTTTTTTTCTTCTTCTTCTTTTAGTAGTTCAGCAACCGCGCCGCTTGCTGCTGGCTGCCGGCTGCCTCAGATGATGCCATTGGGAGGCCCGCAGATGGGCCCCAGGTCCACGCCGTTCTTCATGTAGTATTTCTCCAGCTTGGCCAGGATGTGCTTGCCGTAGGTGTACTTGCGCAGGGTGGCGATGTGGGGCCGGATCTGCAGGGCGTAAAGGGAGGAGGAGGCTGAGAGAGGGAGCCCAGCCTGCACAGCTGCAGGGGAGGCAGGGAGCCACAGCCCTGAAGCAGCAGGAGCTCCAAGGGCGCAGTGAGCAGCGCCGCGCTCAGCTCCAGCAGGCTGCCCAGCGCCTGATCCAACCTCGCCTTGAAAGCCTCCATGGATGGGCACCACCACATCTCTGGGCAACCTGTGCCACTGCCCCCACTGTAAAAGGCTTTTTCCTTACATCTAACTTAAATCTTTGAGCTTGAAACCATTTCCCCTTTTTCTATCACCACAGCTCTGCTCTCCCCTTCCTTCCTGTCACTCCCCTTTAGATACTGAAGGTTGCTCTCAGGTCTCCTCAGAGCCTTCTCCTCTCCACCTGCACAGCCCCACTCTCAGCCTGTCCCCACACAGAGCTGCTCCACCTCTTGGAGCATTTCTGCAGCCCTTCTCTGCACTGCTCAACAGCCCCCTGTCTGTGCTGTGCTGCTCCACACCAGGACGCAGTGCTCCAGGTGAGGCCTCACAGCACAGAACACCACCGCCTTCCTGACCTGCTGCCCTCGCTGCTGTGGATGCAGCCCGGGTCAGGCTGCTCACCACGGGCATCACAGGGCACTGAGCAGCTCCTGCACAGCCCTCCTCCTTCCAGGCTGAGCTGCTCAAGTGCTGCACACCCAAAAGGGCTCCCAGTACGAACTGCAGCTGTGAGCCTAAGGGATGCTGAGAAAGGCACGCAGCATTCCTGGGCTGAACAGAGTTTAGCTTCTTTCTGAACCCAACACTTACTATACTTTTTTTTAATCCATGGAATTACGATTTCATACTATTTCAGAATAGAAGTTGCTTCCAACTCCAGTCATTCCTGTAACTGGAGCCAAGCCACTGTTAGTGGAAGAGTACCCAAACAAGGGAAAGCACTGTTCCAGCTGTGCTATCATGCTGCTGAAGCTCTCCTGGACAGTTTCAGAGGAATGAGACATAAGAGTAATTCATTTTCTTACTACACAAGAAACATCCCACACTGCCAGCAAGTTTCTGCAGTAACTCAGCCACAACAGCCCTTTTACCCTGCAGTGGGAACTGCACAGGAGGAGGAAGCAGCCTGTCCACGACGCACAGCACTCCCTCCTCCCTGCTTCCAGGACAGATGCACCACCACGACCTGCACAGGCCAGGGCTGACCAGAACTCCCATAGGAAACCCTCCCCATTTCTTCAGCTCACTCACTGGCCGCTTAATTCAACTTCAAGAACCAGACTTGGGAACAATCTGATCTACGGCCTCTGCCCTCCCCACACTGCAGTCCCTGCAAGGTCTGGCTGCTGCCCAGAGGTTAAGGCACAGGAAAGCTTCCCAGGTCCAACACTTCTTTGTTTATCTTCATTCCTAAAACTTTTTAGAACAGAATTCCAACCATCAGTTTGTCAGTTGTCGTGCTGTTGTTAACAAAAGCACAACACCACAAACTGCTTGTTTGCAGTACGAGCAATTTTTACAGCCTAAGATCAGACAACGTGCTCTGCTTTTCCAGGCTCTCATTCAGCTCGATAACGTTGCTGAAATCTTCACATCCAGCCACTCTTATTTAGCTGTCATCCTACTTCTATTTTTGACAGCCCCACTGATAACCTAATTAGCATGTTCTTCACAAGGCTGCCTGACAAGAAGAACGTGCCAGTAGGGATTTCTTTTAAAGACATATCCATAGCTCACATAAGGATCAGCAAAGACGCAGGTCATTTTGCTGCTGGACTGTCTATGTCCACCTGCACGCTTATTTTAATTATTTCTTTTGGAATAACACAGGTTTGGGTTTGAAGCAACCACTCCTACACCTAAGAATTAGTCCATCTGAAGATGAGCTCATTTGTATGCGTGCTGTTCACAGAGCAGGAAGATGAAGACACTGCCTGATGCTCAGAGCCTCCTGCCCATGAGAAGCAGGCATACAAGCCTCGGATGGCACAAGTGGCAGCAATGCTTAACTCCCAAATGCCTTCATTTCTGACCAACATGAAGCCCTCACATCCATGAAAGCCTCTCATCAAAAAGCACACTTAAAACACACGTGCCCCATTAGCAGACAGTCAGACTCTCCTGGCCGGGGCAGGAAAGCAGGGATATGAAGCGACAAGCAGCAGAAATGCACCCAGCAGCTCTGCCTCAGTGCTCGAGGTCTGGCTCAGCTCTGCTGAGTACGTAAAGCTTCTCTCATTAGCAAGCAGAGTTCTCAGAGAGGGCAAGTGTGTCATCACTGCCAGACCTCCTGAAGGCACCTTGCCAAGCAAGCACCAAACTTGACTGGTGGCACTGCTACAACAAAAGTAGCCTTTGCCTTTTTTTTTTTGTTTGAGTCAGCATTCACTATGCTATGAGTGCAGAACTGGGTTACTGGGTCAGAAGAGACTGCCTGAAGCAACCAGCTGGTTTCAAGTCCAACAGCCTCTCAGTGTTTCTTATTTTCATACACCAACTAGTGCTTTCCTGCAACTCTGCGACTCCCCACTTGCCAGGAAATTCTAAAAGCAGAAGCAGCTATCAGACTTGCCTCCTCCCTGCAAGCAGTGTGGCAGTGCCACTTCTGAAGACACAGGGTCCTCCCCAGTCGACAGCAGCCGCTCACCTTGTGCATGACGATCTTCCTCTGTGCCGGTTCTGCCACATCGATCATCTTCTGCACCACGTAGTTGGCGTACTGATCCTTCATCATGGTGTATAAGGCACTGTGAGGGCCATCGTTCATAGTGCACACCTCGTCGATCAACATGGCGCGCTCCGTACGGGAGGCGTGGGTCACACACTTCTCCACGACGTTGCTGTAACAATCGAAGAGAGACAACGGTGAGCACACAGCCTCCCTCCTTTCTTTCAGGTCGTCCTGCAGCAGACACGCGATGGTGCAGAAATGCAGAAATGGGGCACGAGCGCCCCAACGTTCCTGGGATCCGAGGGAAACTGGGGCAGGTGCCCACTTCAGGTTTTATTTCATCCAAACTTATTTGTGCATCTCTACAGTGACGCTGCGTTTGAGATCCATGTCTGTTCTCACAGCACACCCTGGAGAAACAGATGAGCTGTTCTTTGTTTGGCCTTCTCAGCAGTGGGGCTCAATGGGAATGGAGGTCCAAGGTTGTAACAACAGAAGTACAACCAGGAATGAAAGATCTTAGCAAAGGCAGAGAACTTCCAAAACTACTGAATATATTAGATAAGCAGTCTCTGTTCTCTGAAGAGCAAAGTTAAATACAATACATGGTTAGGGAAGGAGAGTTTTGCTGGTCTCATCCTCTGCACCCCTGCCTGAATCACAAAATCACCAAATGATTTGCCGTAACTAGAGCTCAGCTCGGGGGACACCATGCACTAATTAACAGGAAGGAAAAGGCTGAAACAACAGCATTCAGACCACGCTCTTCTAATTCCTGTTAATGCTGTACTTCCCTGGTGTTCCTAAGCAGCAGCACACTACCTTCCCCATCACAAAGATAGATTAAACCTGTATTAAACCTGTGAAGAGCTCAGCCTTCGTGTGCAAAGGGCAAGAAGCACCCACAACAGCAGCTCACAAGTGTGGGAAGTGTTGCTTTGTTTTAGCATCCCCTACAGCACCTGAATTTTGCCTCTATCCATGCTCAAGCTCTGCTGCAGCTGGACTATCAACCCCAGACCGCTTCAGTTTCCCCAGGAGGCAGACACACATTACTGGAGGGGCATTCTGCACGTATCTCAAAAAGGACCACAAGGCCTCTGCATATGAGAATCAGAGTCTTCTGTTAAGAGTGGGATGCACAGAACCGCTGCTACACTGATTTCCCCAGTTCCCTGTGACTTGACACTGCCCCCAGAGACAGCAGAAAGCTCCTAACGCTGTGTTCTCCAAGGGACAGTGACTGCTTAACAAAGGCCACAAACACCACAGCTCAGGTTCAAGAACCTGGACTCAAATCACTTTTACATCTTTATCCCCTTTTCACAGGTAAAATCTGCCCTGCCAGTCGCTCACTCCAGTTTTTAAGCAGTTACAAATCGCATTCTGCTGTTCAACAGAAAGTTATTTTTCACCTCCTTTCACCTCCCTACACCCCACTCCCAACTCTTTCACAACTCCAGCATGTGTCCAAACTCCCACAGGGTGTGGAGATTTAAGGAACAAATTCATACCTGGCAAATTTATGTTGACTCAAGACAAGCACGTTGCCTCTAATTTCTGCTACAATCTTGCTCTTGTCCTCAGGCCGGCCATGCTCGAGTACATGCTGGATAACATAGTTCCCATACTGATCCTGTTTGAGAAATAGAAGCACATGAAAATCTGGACAGGAACCACTCAAATCGAAGCACATTAATTCTTACAAACTCTGACTGAACCCTGATCAAAACATCTTCCTTTTAAATCATGCAAATAGTTCCCACCTGCACAAAAACATGCATTCTGGAGTTGCATGAGGAAAAACACCACATCCTTGTACCAACTGTAAAACTCATCAGAACTCTGTGAAACTGTAAAACAACTTCATCGCACACGAAACATCAGTATTTTCTCATTTCCATTTACTGCTTTCTCCAGGTTCCAGAATATCAAACACGTACTGGAAATTGATGGCAGAGTTCTAGCTACAGAAGACTGTTCTCCTGCATGTTCCTATTTGAAATGTGTCCATGTTCAGAGCACAACACAGGTACTCAGCAGCACCAGAGGCATGCCTTGACGCCTCACCTCCAGGCCCAACCTCTTCCCACTCCCAGTGTGTTACACAGGGGCACACAGGACAGGACTCACTCCACGTTATGCCCACTGGGTGCCAATGCACAAGTCCTAAGAAAAAAGAGCTCTTAGAAGGACTGCAAGAAGGAAAGGCAGGCAAGAAGGAGAATATCTCAGAATGTTCTCTTCCTACACACAATCAGCCCTTTGCATCAACTCCTTTGAGATCATTAGGATACATTCCCACTCAATACTAAATTTCCCTTTTGAAAAGGACTCAAATCCAACACTGATATTTGCTGGGTATCTGCACACAACCAAAACGATTAGTGATAATGCTGTCCCTGCCTGCCCCATTCCTTTCTGCTCCTCCTCACCCAATGCTCACACAGCCCTAGCAACACTCAGCTGCAATCCCAAGCAGGCCGCTAGCTCTCCCAGTCCAGAACAGCAACCTCAGGACATCCCCCAGCACCATCTCCCACTCCCACACTGACCTGCACAAGCTGCTCAGTGTGCTGGTGAAGCTCCTCCAAGATGGGCAGAGTCTGCTCAGGAAGACAGTGCTCGAGGATCCTCTGAATCACACGGCAGCCGTACGGGTGTGTGGACAACGCAAAGACCTGCGTCCAACAACAACAGACAAGCACAGGCAGCAACACAGCTGTTAGTCTTGGTGAACCCCAGAAACCTTTTGGAATTCAATGAACAGTGCAGGTTCTCCTGGACAGGGGAGGGAACGGCAGCTCCAGAACTCTGCTTGCAGCACTGCAGCTGAGACAGTGCAAACATCTGCTTCCACATCACTGCCACAGGGAGGCTGCAGACACACCGCATCCCTACCTGAGCTTCACCTTCTCCGTTTATGAACAGGAAACAAAAGGTTAAGTATCTTGATTAATATGAAGAACACCTGGATGGGCAAGCATTATTGGAGGCTGTGTTGAAAGTTTCAGAAAAATAAATCCAGCATACTGCTTGCCAGTTGCATAATTAAAGCTATGTAAGAAATAGTCTGAAGCAGAAAGGTTAAAAATACTCAGAGGATTTTCCTCATGTATCTGGATTTGTTTAAAAGTCTTAACTGTGCTTAGCAGAAGTGACAACAAGAAACCTTCTTCCTCATTTCTAAAGGATTATAAAATCTGTTGCTAAGAACATGACACCTATTCATTTTATTATTGCTGTGTAGTTTTCTGTCTAAAGCACAAAGTCCTGTTTGCTGGCTTAAAATTAAAAGCAGCAGCAAATCCAAGCACTGATGTCAAGGAGGCAGACTACAAATTTTTAATAACTATTTTCAGTAAAGTGGGCAGGAAAACAGACTTTCGAATGCAATGAACCATAGAAGAAAAAAGTCTTGAGGTAGTTAAGTTTAAGCTTGCATACAAAAGTTCAGTTGAAACTAGGACAGCTGGCCAAAGAAATTTCACTGCCATCCACCAAGTTCCCAGATGTGTTTCTGCCTTGCCTAACTCCCCGAGGGAAGGTCCAAAGCTAAATGTGAGCCAGCAAATTTGCTGAGCAAGTTCCCAGCTAGAATCCTGCTTGTTTTGACACAGCCAAGCAAGTCAACACTTTTGCAGATGTTCCAAGAGCAGACAAGCTAATAAAGTCTGGTTCCTGCTATAATAACCCCAGGCTATCCTCACATCCCTGTGGCAAAACCCTCAGTACTTCAAAGTCACTCTCCAAAGCCAATTAAGCTGAAGCTGGAAACACCCAGAACAGCACTTTTGTAATGGAAGACAAGCCAACTACAGTCAGAACAAAGGAGCTACACAACCCAAATCCAGCACTGGGATAATGGAGCACAAGTAACTGCGCTCTCACGTTCTGCCCCTGACCTCAGACCCTCGGGAATTACAGCCTGTAAGCCTCCTCACAGAGAGAATCACCATGAAAATTTACTACACTCATCAGAAGACTCTGCTCGGCACCTTTACTGAGAAGATAAATTAATAACACACATGCTTTCTTCCCATCAGTCAAAAATATTAAATGCTGCAGTAAAGACGTTTACAAGGCTGCTTTACTGTGATAAACTTGAAAACGGCAAAAGGGAGATGGCAGAGGAATTCCTAGGCTCACACTGTAGGCTAACACCTGCTAAATGTTCCGTCCCCAAACACGTGAGTAGCTCACAGCCACTGCTGTGGAAAGAACTTACCTGTCCCTTAAATGCATCAATGATAAACTGCAGGGACTGAGGCTGCACACACTCAATACACTTCTGCACCACATGATTACCGTTCTGGTCTTTTACACACTTCAGGACGTGGCCATCCAGCTCCCGCACCATCTCGTTCTATTAGGAGAGAAAGAAACAGAAAGCACCACCAGGATTCATGGCTGATAAAGGCAGAGCTTTGCTGCTAAGCACAGAGGAAGAACGTGGAGAACATGGAAGGCACGAACGATACACCCATGTGTTTCAGTAATGCCAGGGAAATTTCCCAGTGGCTGAGGGCTGAGATGAAACCTGCTGCAATACAGCAGCCACCCACAATACCACTGTTCTGAAGAGGGAACACTCTTCATTACACATGAGCATCCTCCTAAACCTGAGTGTTCCTAACCTAAACGTTTGAGACTATTATTCCCCAATATATAACTTCGCTATGCACTTACTGTTCCCTCCTCCTCTGCTCCCCTCAGACAGAAATGTAAGACATTCCAACTTCACAAACTTCTAAGTATCAGCTTCACTCATCACCGGGAGAAGAACTTGAATTTTACAAACACAAGCTAATATTATACCATAATTAGGGAAATCAACAGGCAAGTTCTAGATATGACTAACATAGCACAGGCAGGCTGAAAGCTTTATAATGGAAAACAGTAGGTGATTTCTGAGGAATTCAATAGTTACACACAGACATTTTACCTCTGGAACTGATACAAAGCCAGGCTTTTCAGGAGCACACAGTACTCACAAAACAGCATTCTAGAAGACACTGGGAAATCCTTGGACCAGCAGGGCCAGTTTGTGCTGCCCCTCATCACTCTGCTGGCACAGAGCCACCACGAGGCAGCACTCAAGTGAACCTGGGCCTGACCCAAAAGGAACACGCACACTTCTAAATTCTACTTCAGTGTCTGTTGTTAGTGGTGGTGCTTTGTTCTTTCTCCTAACTTAATAACCTACATTAAGACTCCTATATAATGATTCCTAACACCTTTAGTAGCTAGCTTGCAGAGTGTATTTTTCATCTTAATTCACTGTTAATAAAATCCTACTGGAATTGATTTATTAATGAGCTTTGAGTAGATTTGAGGCTATTATCAGCCCTTATCCAACTCTGCCTCGCTTGATGGGAATTAGGGGCTCCTCACATGCCTCACTCTGAGGGAAGCAGGGTACTGACCCACATATCACAGCAGCAGTACCTCAGCAAATATGCCAAAGTAAAACTTTGGCACCATTTACCTCAGGGGATCTTAAAGCATCTTCTCATTCATACTAACATTCATAATTCCATCAGCAGCTAGCCTGTATCATCTGACTGCAGGGCATTAACAGAGAACCAGTGCCATCAGCTGCTCAGTGGAACAAGGAGATGACAGTGAGATCTGAGAACAGTATCACATACTTACTTATCATGCACAAGAAACATAACAGATGTACCATAAACCAAACCAAAAGAACACCATCCACAAACACAACCATGACTAACAGAAGATTACAGTTCATGTCACCAAACAGCAAGAAACGTTCAACATCAAGAAGAAAGTTAAAGTTGAAACTTACAATTACCTGCTGGTCTGGGGGAATAAACTCGAGGGCCTTCTGGATCACCCTACATCCATACATCTGCAAAGCCAGGGACAGAACATGCCCACGGATACGTTCTGCCAAGGCTAACTTTTGCTCCAGGCTGCCAAACTGGAAAGATTAAAAGCAATCACCACAAGCACAAAATCCTCATGTGGTCAAGCAGCACAGCAACCCTCCCAGTCTGTCATACCCAAGTGTTAAACAAGAAACACTGTACTTAACTGAAGAAAAATAACAGCCATAGCTCAATGGAACTGAACAGGCACAAGTGAGATGTTTGTTCTGGCTCTGATAATGCCTGACACATTAGAAACAGATTCCAGAGCCACTTTGCTAATGCAGTAACCCTTGAAAGGGTTGCTATAAAATTACTGAACTAAAAAACAAACTAAAATCAACAAGGCTGAGTGAAGAAGGGACTGACCAGTTTCAAGAAGGAGAGAGAAGCAGCTGCTCACTCCCCTTGCATGGAAATGCACACTTTTCTTCAGTGGATGCTGTCTGTTGTGTTTTTAACACAAGTGCTTTCCAAAGTTTGTATTATTTCTAAGTACATGAGAACTGACAGCTCAGTGTAGCATCCACTGAGACAGAAAACTAATACTTGTTGGATCTCAGTCCCTTCAATATGTGATTTATTCTTCCAGCTTTTTCAGGTCAAAAGGCAAAATCTATTCTTTAGAAGAGATTTTTAGTCCCACATTACAATCACCCTGACAGGAATGATACAGCAGCACGTGGAGATGAAATGACATCAGTGTAGCCAGATACCCATGCTGAGCCAAATGGCATGGCTTCTAAGAACTCAGCCTATGCCTCAGGACACCTGAGCAGGCACCTGAGCAAGAGTTGTGAATAGAGGAAACGAAGACTTACTTCAAAGAACTTCTGGATGACATAATTTCCAAATACGTCCACCATCAACTGATAAGCTGCCTGCAGGATCTCGTTGAACACAAGCTGACGTTCTGCTGGGGTAGCACGCTCCAGTTTCAGCTGAATAAACCTGAAAAATAAGGCTGCTGTGATGCCACCGGCAAATGTGTCCTCAGAGCATTTGTTAACAAAAATCCAGTCATAACCTTCACACCCTAAGCTTTTACAAAATACAGGTCTTTGGAAAACAAGTGCCCTAAATCACAGCAATCTGAAACCTTGAGTGGTGGCACTCATGAGGTGTGTGCCAACGTGCCATTATCCATACGCCAAAGGCTCAAGCAAAGCAGGTCTCAACAGAGTGACATGGCAAGGTCTCGCATCCAGGCAGCTTTCAAATGAGTTCAGCTGTACCAGCGGGTCTAGCAAGCAAACTCCTTTTTGGAGAGGGAAGCCACGCTACAAGAACTTGACTCCAGCCCACGAAAAGGAGGGTCAGTGTTACACCACCCAGCTTAATGTCTTTTCACACCTCCTTTTCCTTTACTTCAGGACGCAACGCAAGCCCCAAACCACGTCAAATCCAAAAGCAGCTGTCGCAAAAACTGCCTACGGCACAAGGTTTTAAATCCCACCTGGATCCATGCTGGTCCTGGGAGAACTCCATGATGTGCCCAGCAATCTCCCTCAGCTGTAAGTTGGGGTACCGGTTGTTGCGGAAGTCCTCGAGCAGCCTGCTGCGGCCGGAGGGCATCACGTCAGACATGCCGTAGCGCAGGCGAGACGAGGGGAACAGCGTGCTGCTGGGGCTGAAGAGGCTGGAGGCGCTGCTGGCACTGCGGTACTTGGCCTCAGCCCCAGGAGCAGCAGAGATGTAACGGCCGCTTCCATTCGTGAGCCCTCCTGCAAGTCATAAAAACCAAAGGGGTTCAAAAGACGCAAACGAATCCCTTGGCTGTTTCGTTTCAAACGGACGCGCAGCCTCCGCATGGCATTTTGCTTCTCATTATTCCTTTTCCACCAAGGTGGATTTATGACACAGTTCAAATAGGGAAGTGCTCTCAACCATGCTAAACCAACTGCCCCCAAAATAATTTGGGTGAGAATAATTCGAGCAGCTCCTTAGCATGGCACTCGTGTGTTAGGTTGGGATGAACTGAAGAGTTCAGAAAAGAACAGCCTGTACAACTTGTGCTCCTCACTTGTTGGCATTGTCTAAACCATACATGTTAATCCACTGCTTGCATTTTTTGCTAACTTGAGATTTCAAATTACTTTATTTTGTTCCTCACCTCCACTTTTTCCCCACCTACTCTGCTGCTGACCCAACCCCATCTAAACAAATGTCACAGGTGTAGGGACAGAACTGAAGCAAAATTAGACAGCAAAAAGGCAGCAAGAAGCAAGTAGAAAAAGATTACAAAACAAATCACTATTCAATACAGATAAGCACCAATAAGTTAAAATAAATGAGGATCACAAAGAATCCTTTCAAATACATACTAAACATTTTCATTCATACTAAGAAAGCACTCTGTTACCCAGTAACAGGCCTGGGAAACATCCATCACACAGTCAGGAAACTGTAAGTGTTGACAGCCGTCAGCTTAAACCTGTAAAGGCCGTTTTCTCGCCTGTACTTTCTGCACTGCACTTCAGCAGCACAGCACAGGACTCATTCTTGCAGGCTTGGGATCCCTCTGCTGGCCAAAGGCTGCAAGCTACTTGGGTGTGTGATTTCTCTAGAGCCGGCTAGAGATCTGGTAAGGAGAATACTCCTATCACATGGGAATGTGCCGACAGGAGGCAGCAAGGGAAACCACCCAAAAAAATCCACAAGTGATCTCTGCAATGGAGGAGAGGGAAGACCTTCGAAGGCAAAGGTCCGTAGGTCTGTCTGCAAAGAGAACAGGCCTTCTCCCAGCAGCCATGCAAACAGCCGGTCCAAAATTAAAATATATTAATTAAAAAAAAAAAAAAAAAAAAAAGAACAGAGTGAACTGCACTCCCTGCCAGCAATGCCTCAAGGAAGCTTCCATACAGGAAACGCTATATGAGAAGTATCTGATGACGGGCCAATTAAGTTTCCCCATCTCTGAGCAGGCAGGCATGTTCTGACTGCTCCCCACCTGCTGCCAAATCTCTGCTTTCTCAGGAGGAAAGCAACTCAAGAACTTCCCGTTCCCATCTCTTCCTTGTGCTGCTTTGCCAATGGCACGGCCGGCATTGTCTCTAGCTGATTTTTTAATTAAGAGCTCTAACGAGTGACTAAGTGATATTCCTTACTGCTGGAAGGACAAGCAAACGCAAAGGGAATATGAAATCAATAGTTTCTAAGGTAAAGGAAGCCAAATTAATGAGCAGTGGTGTACTGAGTCTCCGCTGCACTCCAAGCACTCAGTTACCCTCTGTTTTTCCAAAGCCTGGAGCAGGTCAGAGCCGTGGCACAGTGCACTGAAATGAAAAACTGCTTCTTGATCTGCTACAAATGGCTGTAAGTGGAAAGAGCTGAGCACTGATGCTGTTACCATCTATGTCCCGTCTCTTAGTTCAGAGGGAAAGTATCCTTTGTACAGCCTTCTCTACCAGAGGTAGGGCCAAAGCTTCTGCTCATGTTGAAGGGTCTAGCTAAACCACTCACGTTCCCCTAAGGGCCTCCCTTCTGCTGGAGATGCTGACTGAAGGTCTCTCCGTAAGGTTCAACACCATACTGGGAATCAGAGACCGTGCAGGGACAGGTTTCCTAGTAACACAAGTGCTTCTGAAACCCATCTTTCAAACTCCTGAGCATCTTAAGCTCCTGTACCCTAATTTGTGAGTGGGACCACAAGATGTGATCTAAGCAGAATGGAAATGCTCCCTGCTCAAGAACCACATGGGGGGGGTGAGGAGGAGGGGGAAGAAGCACTGATGAAGCTTGTGGGACACCAAGGTGGAACAGAGGGGCAGAGTCCCAGAGAACAGATGTGCAAAGCTGCTGGGTAGCAATCAGCCCCTGGGAGGGGCTGGGATTTGACCTTTAACTCGAGTCACTGTGTGATTCTACGAAGCTGCTGATACTGACAGATTTCTGTGACCTCAGCCAGAACAAGCTTCAAGAGAAGGTCTGCAAGCTGTCTGCAGCCATCAGGCAGTGCCAGCACCTGGCTGCCCACGCTAAGCACTCTGACAGCACTCAGCACATGGAGCTGTGCAGAAGAATCAGGCGCAGCACAGTTCTGTTCTAAACAGACTGACAGAGGAAGGCTGTACCTTCACCATATAAACCCACAGTGCTTCTGTCTCAGCTAAGCACACTTGCACATGCTGCACACACCTTTGAGCTTAAAGCACGTATTTAGCTCAGCTCTCCTCCCTCAGCAGTTCTCATAAGGACTGCATGCTGATTTCAGGTACTTGTGATTGCCCAGATATTTCACAAGATCACTTCATAGCACCAGAAGTAGTGTGACAAACACCATTTTTCACAGCCGTGAGCTTTCAAGGAAGCCACAAGAGCAGGAGCTGAACCTTTACAACAAGCCCAGCAAACACCCAACTCTTACATCCCTGCGTGACAAAGCCAAAGCCACCACACAAGCAGCATCTAACTGTACCTCTCCTGACTGCACATGGGATCCAGCACCAGCTTCTTGAGTTGTCCTGTATCCTTGGAATTGAACTACACGAAGCAACTCCTCCACACCTCACAGTGATGGGATTTGGCTCTAAACCGGGCTGCTCTAATTTCCCTTTTGGCAAACGCCACATTTGAGTGTTCCCATCTGTCCTTTCACTTCTACGTATTAAGGAAACTTCTCAGCCTCTTTATCACAAACAATTTTTGATATCGTTCCAGAAAAGGAGCCTGCCTCAAGCTTCTTTAACGCCTGTGATGTTTTCATAGCATTCAAACTTGTTCTACAACTCCAAGAAATGGCAACTGCGTTCGTAGTGTGTCTGACACTACAGGTGAAAGACACCACCATAAAATGACCCTACACATTTCAAGGTAAAGCCCACAGCCAGCTGTGAGACTTCTCCTGCAGTAACCACCAGGCATGAAGGCAGCCAGAGGGCTGACAGCTGCCACACGGAGCATCTTGTCAGCACGGGAAGACCCCTGCTAACTGCTTGGGGCACGGCCACTTGTGTAAATGGCAGCTCTCCTTTTTCTCCAGTGTTTGTTCTTGGTACAGACTAACCCTTGTCTGATCCAGTTTTTAAGATTCATTCTTGTTTGCCTGAGGGGGCAAGAGACTTTTCCTAGAGCCAGAATTTGACTCTGCTTAGTCTTTAGCATTAATTTAGTGTAGCTATTCAACTGTCAGCTTAAGAACTATAGAGCTGCATAAATAAAGCTTTAAAACTCTTTGCAACTCTATTAAAGCTCAGAACAAGAGGAGATGGTAAATTTAAGGCTGATCTCAAAAATCCTATTTATTACTATTTCATACTAACCTTTAGCCAGAATCAGCATTTATCACACACACATTCAGTAAACAAATACACCATCTGATGAGTAGCAGAGTATGCATGCATGTAGGAAGCATTCTGAGAAACTGAAGTTGCATTACATCCAGACAGATACTTGACAGAACCAAAACAAAGCAATATTCTAACAAACACTGAATTATTTGGCGCAGATGCAAAGAGTAACCCATCTTTTTTGTTTATGAGGCCTGGGAATGAATGCTTCAGGAAGTTCAGATCAGTACTGCTTTATTATTTAATACATGCTTTATTTTAAAGCCTTTATTGCATGTAACAGTTCTGGGCCAACTAAGAGATGTAACTTGCATGAAGAAACGTATTTAACCAAAACTAAGAAAGTCACGTGCAAACGTGCTTTGATAATGTTATACTGATGGGAATTTTCCAAAAGCAAAACCCAAATCCTCAGCTAGAATTACTGCCCTAGATAACATCACATATTTCGGTTAAGAGAAGAAGCTTTATCCTAAGTTAATTAACTTATTATTGAAAACTGATTGGATATTTTGCAACCTCTTTATGGATCTATTCATCTGTTCAGTTCAAGGATAACAAACAATTGGTGCTTTCTCTGCGTGAGAAAAGTGTTTTTAAAACACCTGGAAATGTCATCCAAGATAATGTTCATTTAGAGATGAAGAATTTAGGGAGCAATGCACATCCCTTCCCGTTTGACAGCTCAGCTACTGAGAGGGGCACCAACACAGAACACGGGTGCTGCAACTCCTGCTTCAGCAATTCACCAGCTCCTGCAAAAGCAGGGAATGTGTGGCAGCAATAAGAGCAGCCAGCAGAGCACACGCACCTCCCCCACACAGCAGGGCTGTGCTGGCATCTCTGCACAAAGGGAGAGCAGAGCAGCAGTAACCTCACACAGCGGCATTGTGGCTCTTACCCAGGTTCAGACTGGAAGAAGATCCGTGTGAAGATAAGGAAGGTGGTGGGGTCTGAGAGTGGCCAGGTCCTTGGCTGGGCAGAGGCATACCCACAGGTCCAGGAGAGGAGGAAAACCCGAGGCCATTGTAAAAACTGTGTCCTATAGGTGTCAAACTGCTGGATGTCCTCTTGTACAGGTCACTGCTCCCTGTCAGGGAATCCCGGCGAGAGCCGCTGCCAGTGTTGGAGTTAGCCACTGAAAGAGGATGAGAGCAGAGCTGAGTGAGCATGGACAACAAGCTACTGAGACAGCATAAAACCTGAAGATGCCTGCAGAACTGACAAAACCATCATAGGACCTATAAGCACCACTCTGGTGTGATGGTATTGCTTTCCTAAGGGTAGTGCATGTGCCCAAACGAAATGCAGTAATTACAGACGTTGCTGGTTGTCAAGTTAGAAATCCTTGGTTAGCCCAAATCCTGCCTTTGTTTCCTATAGTTTAGTAGCTTTCATTCTGAGAGAAGGCATCCAGAAATACAGCTCCAAAAGCCAAAAGATCAGAGGATACGACCTACCCAAAGGAAGTGACAGAAGAAAAAAACAAACAAGTGACAGCAAGTATTTTGCCTTCTGGGTGCAAGCACTTGCATTTTGCTTCCGAACCCTGAAAAGAAGGGTTTGTACACTTCACAGGGCTTTTCCCCTCAGTGTTTTGCTTTGTTTAAGGGAAGTTATTTGATCTCCCAACAAGCACTGCCTCATATTTGTTCTTTGGGCATCAGAGCTAAATCAAATCCACCGGGAGATTTCACCTATTCTTTACTTAAGAGCATATATAGCTTCGTGTACATTTCCTTGGAACCCTCCTTCTCACCTTTCATTACATTAGAGAACAGCTGAGGAGTCGCTTCTTTTTTTACTTCTGTTTGCATTTATTTATTGAGATGGAAATCAGAATTTAAGTTAAGCACATAAAAACATTTTGGAGAGTTTTCATTTATAAGAAATAAAAACCTCCTCAAACACACTTGAGAAATAATCATTTTTGCATTAAAATCTCGTTTAATAGTAGAATTGTTAATGATTGTAATGAATTAATCATTTTTTTCCCATGACTGTACATAACCTCTAGAAGCAACAGCGTCACATTTTTGTTCATGGATCAAGGGAAAACAAGCTCGTGCACCTCAGCTTTGCACAAACCAGTCACCGAATTCAATTAGTCAAATGAACTGGAATGCAAGAAGTGAATTCTGCATCTACTTTAATTCAAGATGGTTCTCATTTTCAGGCTGGGATTAAGGAAAATATTTAGAGTAGCCTTCAAACAAAGCAGCGACTCGATTCGGGGGCACTGCATCTCTCGGCCTCTTCTGAAGGACGGGGCTCTAAAGGCACGCTTTGACTTGCCCTTCAGACTGATGAAAGCAGCAAAGTCCAGGACGTAATTACTACCTCTAAGACTAAGCAGCAATTAAAACAATTGTTCTACTTCAAAAATAAAATCAATTAAAAATAAAAGGAAAAAATCTCAACCCACAGACATCTTTCTGGTTTGGTTTTATTCTGAAAAGAATCATCGTCTCCAACTGCCCTACGAGCAAATCAAAAGAAAGTTTCCGTATTTCTTGCAACCACAAGTCCTGGGTTCTTCTGGGCTGTAAGATAGAAACAGTGCCCAGAATAAAGCGCAGAAACCACCTTCCTCAAGCCACCAGAAGCAAGTTCCTCAGCCACTGCTGAGTAAGAGTCAGCACACAGTTACCCCTGCGGAGCCGATTCCTGCCAGGCCAGTATCTCCACCAAGCACATGCAACTAAAGGCGAGGTGACCCAAAGCCGTTCAACAGCTTTATGTGCAGCAGCAAAAGGATGTCTGACAACGCGTCAAATGCACGGAAGACATTTAATGTATCATCTCAAGGTATTCTCTGCTGAAAGAAGTCTCATCAGAACGCAGTGTGCATTTTGAAAGCCAAGCAGCTCCCAGTGAAGCAGCCGCAGCTCCTACCTGCCGTCCCGAAGCCTCCCAGTGCAGACCCCAGCGTGGCACCGAGGGAGCTGCTGCTCCCAAAGCCCAGCGAGGTGTTGGCAGGCTGGGCGGAGCCCTGAGAAAAGAGGGAGCTGCTCTGGGAATTGCTGCTGAGTGAGTTGTTGCCATAAAACGAGCTGGAGGCCAGGTTGTTGGTGGGCTGCTGCTGCGGCTGAGGCTGGGGCTGCTGCGTTCCCAGGGGGCGGAAGGGGCCGTTGGTGGTTCCTGCCAGGCCCCCAGCAGCACCGTTGGCTGAAGCTGCTGCTGCTGCAACTGCTGTAGAGAAAGTAATGGGAAGCAGAGTTTGAAAAATCCATTTTGTATCTGGGTTGGAAGTCAAGTTTCATCACGTTCCTCTTATTTCCTATAGATTTTTTTCTTTTTTTTTTTTTTTTCCTCAGGATGAAAATCTCCCCCTCACATCAAACTCTTCAAACACCTCTTTACTCTAAACCTGTGCTCCTCCATCAGGCTTGCGTGGAGCCACCGAATACCAAAGTGTAAAATTATTATGACTGCTGTTTGTATTATTACAGCTACGTGGATCAAACAAGTTCCCTAAGATCCGAGATCCAATATCTCAGGCACACACTTAGTGCCAGCCAATCAAGGAACCTGTTTAGAAATAATCAGTGCATGAAACCCACTCCTGCAGTGCTAAGAACATCAAAACCAAATACTTTTGTTTCCAGCCGGTTCCAAAGCAAAAGAAAAAAAGCAAAATAAACCAGAGCTACAAGGAAACAATTTAAAAGCCCATTTCATAATCTGTTAGCAACACTGGTCAGGAATGCTTACACACAGATTCTTGCTTGAAAAATTGCTTTTAAACCTTGAACTCCCAAAACAACCCCAACAAAATCCAAAACAACTTGTGGCAATGACCAGGCATATAACATTTTATGTAAGCAAGGCTCTCATTAGGGAGTCTGACATAGGCTAATGCCCTTTATTGTGTGGGAAGCTGAGTGTCAGCAGACCAATTGGGATAACTCACAAAATTCAGCAAAATGGCGCCGTCTGTGCTACGCTGCCTCTCAGGGCTATTCCTCAAGGCTCAGCTCACGAGTCCAGAAGAAGCTCTCAACAAAATCCCTGCAGTGGATCTCAGTGAGGGCAAGTGAGTCATCATTGCCAGAAGGGCACAGAGGGGCTCAGTCCCGCTCCCTGGGGATGGAGGCACTGTGGTGGGAGCACGTTTCCACCTGGCTGGGTTGGAACTCACCTGCCTGTGCTGCAGAGGAGCTGATGATGACTGGCGCAGGGGCCACCAGGCGCACGGGAGCCCCCAGGCCGTTCCTGGCCCCCGCATTCACCACGAGAGCACCAGTTTGGTCATAGTAGGCAGCAGGAGCCAGCACAGGGTACCCTGGAGAGAGAAATGACAGCACACAGTGAGGTGACGAGCAGCACAACATGTGGGCACAAACAACTGCATTTGGGTAACATTTCTAAATGAAAATCACAATGGTAAAGGAGAAAAGCAACAACAATTTTGATTCTTGCGAAGCGAGTTCTCTGCATTAACCACCCACAACTTCCACACTTACATTTCTACCTCTAAGTCTTTCAGTTAAGGAAGAATTTTTTTTTTTTTCCTCCCTGAAGCTCCTATATGCCCTTTGTGTAAATTCAGTTACCCAGAGGGGGAAAAAAAAAGTCTTAAAATACTACAGTGCTATTTCTTTTCCCTTACAAGTACAGCCTGTGCTGGCACACTCCATGTGAGCACACTGCGCTTCCATCTCTCCCACTGCATGTTGGAGCAGTTCTGTGTGCACACACAAATAAGGCAGAGAATTTCAAGCTATGTTCAAGATGTGCCTTTTGGAGATACCTATTTATAATAGAGCATTCTTAAATGCATACAAATACTCTTAAACAAAAAACATGCTTATGACACAAAGAGCAGCAAGCAGCAGTCCTTCCATAGCACACAGCTGCTCAGTTTAGGTACTGGGTACCAGCTATAGCATTTTAGACTAAAATACTCTACAGACACAGAATAAAGAACAGCACAGGAAAAAAATGAAGTCCTTCCCTATACTGGGGTCACAAAGAGGAAAGTGTTCTGTGAACGTTTTGAAGCTATAGCCTCCAGAATCCCAACAGCACAGACTCAAGTCCACAGATTACTTGAAAGCAGGTATGCTACAGCTCACTTTGTAACTGAATACAGCAACATTCTTCTTAAGCCTTAATAAAAAAAAAAAAAAAAAACCAACAAAAAAAAAAACACCACACTAAGCAGCCGTGTGGCACTTCCAGTAAGCAGACCTGAGGCCAAAATAATTCTCTTTGATTGCATCTGACCAACAGGACATACTTGCACGTTATTCAAAAGAACACTTACATCTGCACTTTGTCATTACAACAGTATTTTGCATAACCAGTGTCAGAAGCATCTGCACCACACCGACTCATGGATCAGAGCTAAAACCCACGCAGCACTTCTCTCCTGCAAAATTGTAACAGAACTCTGCTTTTGCCTCTTTTTCTTCTCTAAGCCATTAGTATTTATCTGGAAGAAATTATGAAGGGGAAGTCCTTCACCTGTTAAAATCAAGCAGGGATGGGCAGACAAGGCTAATGGACAGTACTAAGACATCTCAGAGGTCTCAGAATAAAAATCACATAAGGTAGCATGAACCACAGAAAATCATGGAAGCGACTTTCAGTAGGAGCCATCAATTTTGGGTACGCAATTAACGCATCTGTACAGCTGATAACATTTGCTCCACCTGTGATACAGGAATCCAAACCCTGCTTTAACTTAACACTGCACTGGTGGTTATGCTGTGTCTAACAGACTCTCCAAAATGCCCTGCATACCCACAGATTAAAACCATGAAACGCTGTAATAAAAACAGAACTGATGAATGCCAGGCAAATGTGACACCATGCAGAGACTCCAGCTGTAACCTTCTTGGATCTCACTGGACAAGTCACAGCCCTCCCAGGCTCCCTACCTGGCATTCCTGCTGCCAGCCCTTGTCCAAAGGCAAGGGCAGAGTTGACGGCGGCAGCAGCCACCAGAGGATCAGTTTGCTGTCCCTGCTGGTTCTGGTTTGGGGTCAAAGGACGCTGACTGGCTCCTCCACGTAGAACCTGGAGAAAACAGGAAACGGGTCTGGTTACACCAACACCCAGGAATAAGCCACAATAACCACGCTGCAGGATCCAGCAGCAACATAAGCTGCTAGTTCTTGCACACAGTGGCAGCTGTGTCATGACAATCCCTCTCAACTCAGAGCACAACTGCCTTCACCACCAAAAGCATCAGCACTGTTTCCAATGGGTAAATGCCTAAGACTCAATTTAAATAACACACCCTTCTTCAAGCTTCCCAAGCATAATCTCAAAGAGCTTCAATTCTTCTATTCTCAGTTTCTTCTGTTCTCTTGACATACCTTCAGTCCTCATCCTCCATTAGAAGCCTCTGTGAGCCATCTGTCCCACTAGAGATAACGTTTGGTCTCTGCCACAAGAGCACACTGGAAGCCCACTTATGCAGAAACCTTTACAGACTTGAGAGCTGTGGGCTGATGACATGAGGTGACACAGGTTTTTCCAAACTGCCATCCACCTCAGAAAACAGTGACCCACTGACACCACACTTACTCACTGGAAAGAATGACCAGAGATCACACACAGCCTTTTCTACGTGGCTCTTGTGGTTTAAGCACAAGTTGCTCTGAAAAGGGAAGATGGCAAACTGACCTTTCCTGTAATTACCTGCGACAGGCTTTGTCTGCAACAGCCTTTTACTCAGTGGTGATGTTAGAGCCTGCAGCCACTTGTGAGGTCAGCTCATTAGAAGAGCTGTCCTTTGGTACTCAGCATGCATTGTTGCAAAAATTAACATTGTATTGTCATCGGATAAAGCTGTGAAAAGCAACCAACTGCTTTGCTGGGCGACTGGGGGAGGATATTGAAGCTAACAGACCTGAGACATATCCCAGAGCTAGCTACTGCTGTCAAAGCCTGGACGTGAACTCTTCACCTCTTTACAGCCTGGAAGCCTCACAAGCTGCAGCTGCTTGGTAAGCACCCCGTGCACAGGCACTCTGCAGAATGCAGCTGATGGACGACGTGCTGCAGAAAGTGAAGCGCTGGCAGTTTTATAAATACACTATTCCTCCTAAGATGTTGTGAGCACCACAGACTGTCCACACTCATCACTGTATTTCTAAAACATTCGCCTCAGCACTTCTCCAAAGGATTTCATCCAAAAATGTACACTTATCTTCTTACAGACAGAAAGTCTGCATTAAAAACAATACACGTAATCCGCACTCATGCCTGCTTTGTGGCTACAGAATAATGAAAAATATCATAAAGGCTACTGATGATTGATAGATATGCTTTAATAGCTTAAGCCTTTGCAGAAGCTCTCTTTGCACGTACCTACTTAAAGGGGAAAGGTTCCCAGTCTGAATGCCAAAGCACAATGTGCCACACTTCACTCCATTTACCTGCGTGCACGGATGTGTGCAGAAGGTCTGTTAGCACACTCCTGTCAGAGACCTGCCAGGTGGGGAGGTTGATGATTAACTTTGTCAGGAGCAAAGCATTCTCCTTCTGATCACTGGTCCAGAACCACTGATGTGAAACATCATTGCTTTTCTTATCTGAAAAGGCCTTAAAATACTACATAATCTTTTTTAGCTTCAGAGTTTTGCTGTTTTGTTGTTGTTGTTGTTGTTTATTTTTTAAACAAAAGCTAATAAACGTAGTTGTCAATTGCAATCTTCTCTAAGGCCTGAAATCTCAAAAGCACAAAGGCCAGAACGGAAGGCTCTGCATCTCCTCCCTTTTCAGTAGGATAATAAATCCATTTTGTATCCAAGAAGGAACTCCCGTGGGACAGCAGCTGACAGTACTGCATTAACCCAACTTCAGGAGAGGAGCAGTGATTCATCCAGACATCAGAGCAGGAAGCTGTGCAGCACAGCCAGCCGAGGAACAGAAGCCCCAGTCCAGCTCACGACATCTGTCCAACAGACCCTTCTTTCAGCTCAAAGCAGAGTACATCCACACACACATCTAGTGGGAGCACAACCCAAAGAAGGACAGCAGGGTGACCCTAATCCTTCTAGCATCTGACTTCATGGATTTACTGACCACTTACTACATGCCACTTAATGACACGGAGTATTGGACACATTTTCATCTTCTCCACAGCTTTCGCATGAAAACAGATGAAAACACATGAATACAGCCATGACTTCCACTCACACATCACCAGCACATGCTTGCTAATAAATGACTGTACGTTATTTCATGTGCCAAAGCCCCACCTACATACCTGTTGCTGGCCCTGCTGGGTTTGCTGAGTGGTCTGCTGATTTGCTGAGTTAGTGGCAGCAGCAGCTGCTGCAGCTTGCTGCTGGAAGAGGCTGGCAGGATAAACTCCCCAGGGTGTAACTCCGTAGTACTGGTGAGGGACAACTGCAGGGCCTGAAACACAAGAGAACTGGTGAGCTTCTGCGGTGTCACCAGCATTGCACAGCAGTCACCAAAAATATCTGCACACTGTGTTTGATTTTACAAATCTTAGTTCAAGGTTACCAGCTTTAAAGTCCTTCCAAATAGGAAGGGATTGCGCTATCTGTAACATTCATTTTAAGAAAGCTTATTAGTCAGAACTGAAAGTTTCACCTTTACTTGGTTTTACCTTAGCTGAAGTCCAGTCCTGCTGACAGTGATCCTGCTGAAACTCCACATTTTTATTGGTGAGCCTTAATTTTATAGGGAAGCAACGAAACTTTTTACCTCTAACATAAACAGAAGGAAATGTCTCAGAGACACTGAAGTCTCCCCTAATCTTAACACTTGAGGCTCAGTAACATCCATCATTTAGCTCCCAATAAATACAGTATAAAATAACAACCTTTCTTCGCAGCCAGACAGCATCAATTCCCAAGTGTGAAACGCTGTTCCTCCAGCTGCTCACTCCTACCATGTGTTCACAATCCACCACAAAACAGCCCAGAAGATCCCCTATCTTTCCACACCCCACCTTCCTTTAACTGCTGCCTCCATTTAAGAGTTGTTTTTTTTTTAAATAAGTAATTATCTTGAGAGAAGAACAAAGCAAGCACTGTGCTTCATCAGCGCTCAGGGCACTGTACGCTTCGTTGGGTGATGGAAGTGTATCCTTAAATAATCTTGGTGTCACGGCACAACATGGAAGAAGAGATGAGCCCTTGGCACTGAACAGCACAGACCCTGCCACCACCTGTGTGAATCCAACAGTATTTTTAATCTCTCTGCTCCGTATCTTTTGAAAAGGTCACCAGGAAAGTATTTCCTTTGCTCTTCGAATACAACACCTATCCCAGGAGTTGAAAAGCACTTCCCTGCTGTAAAAGCACCTTGCAGCATGACAGCCTAAAGATAGAGCGCTGCATATTGGACAGACAAATAAACAACTATTTAGTGAATTTGAACCACAAAGTTGGTCTTCAACAAAGCAAAAAAATAGCTTCTATTTTAGGAGTTAACATTTCAGTTCTAACCAAGTCGTTCATGTAGTGCTGTTAGTTAGCTCAGTAAGTCACTGCGAGAACACAGCTAACAGCACTCCGTTTGACCAAAGGAGACACAACCTGCTCCTATTCATTTAATACAGATGCCAAGAGCTGGGGTGCTCCTGCGCTCAGGAGAAAACTGTCTGCAAGGTTTTAGGCAAGGAATGAGTGTCTGCCTTTGCCCTTGGACTACTGAATACCCTTTACTTGGGCAAAATTCAGGCATGGCCCTGGGTTATTTTAATCTCAATTTTAATTATCAAGTAAGCAGAATCTAGAAGTTTTTCTTTTTTTTTTTTTTTTTTTCTAGTTAGAGATTGCTCATCAGATCTGCAGAAGCCTGAGGTGTTTAGAAGGAGAGGAGACAAAGCCTTTGAAGTCTGCAGGCAGCGGGGCTTAAAAGAGCTCTGCACATCCCTTCGAGCCCAGCTCAGCTGTGCACACTGTGAGGCTCTCATTACTGAACAGTGCTCTCAGTGAGGGCAAGTGTGTCATCATTGCCAGACCCGTAAAGACACACACAGTGCTTCTTTACTTCTGCAGACATCACACCTGCTTTTACACTTATTAAAGATGCACATACAGGAAAAAATAAAAGCTGCTTAGTGCCTTTGAAATTAAGTGTTCCCACTACTATGTCTCACACACACACACACACTCCTAAATACTCCTTCTAACAAACAATAAACGTGCCCCATCCCTGGAGGCATTCAAGGCCAGGCTGGATGTGGCTCTGGGCAGCCTGGTCCAGTGGCTGGCGTCCCTGCACATAGCAGGGGGTTGATACTCGATATCACTGTGGTCCTTTTCAACCCAGGCCATTCCATGATTCTAGCAGAACCAATGAAAGTACATTCATGGCACATTCCTCCCTTTTAGTCTCAGCCTTGACACTAACATCTCCCAATCAGAAAGCACAGCTGCAGGAACAGGACCAAATGGCACTTCCTGCCAAGGGTAAGGACGTGGTGACACCACAGTATCCAGAACCCCACGTCTGAAAATGAAAGTGTGCAAACAGGGACTTCACCAAATACTTACAACACTTGAGCTGATCCATGCAGAATTATCAGTACAGCAGCTGCAGACATCCAAGCGGGGTCTTCTCAGATAGGAAGTGGGAAATAGCTCAACTCCACCAACCCTGGTGCTGCCCCACGAAGCCCTGCCCTACAGCCAGCACAGACCCACACCAGGAGGGGCACCTGTGCAAGACACCACACCGCAGCCAGCTCCACGTGCTCCCCAGAGCCCCCAGGCAGCAGGTGTACCTGTTCCCAGCTCTGAGCTGGCTGTGCAGGACACAGATCAGCACCAAGTGAGAGGCTTCTAAGAAAGCCTGGTTTGAAAACAGAGCTCTGAACAGACTCTACCTTTAGTCTCGGAGCATTGTGTTTTTCCTGTATGCAGATTATTCCACCATCCACTTTTCTACAAAGAACAGAAATGCTTTTCTACCTATTATATCCCTCGGAGGGAACCAACATTTCTCGATTTGTCCTAAAGGAGACAAGATTTTTCTTTTTTTTATTATTATTTTTAATTGACATCTTTCTCAAATGACAGAAGTAATTTCATACTTCTTAAAGACAGCAGCATCTTCCCCGAGGACTGAACTCACAAGCTATTTTTCTCCAGCCTAGGAAGTCCTTCCCTCTATTCAAACGTGCTATTCTTTTAACTGTTGCTATTGTTGTGAAGAAAAGAGCCTTATCATGGGGCTGACAGTCTTATAATCATGCAAAAGCTGCCATAATGATACATTCTTAATTGGCAGAATCATCTCTGCCATAAAACACACAAAAGTTTCCACTCCTAAGAGTAACTGCGAACAATAGACTACCAACAAATCTCAATTCATTCCTTCCATCTCATTAACTTCTCCAAGTCTTCCCAATCTAATGCTGCCTTACAAATCAGGGAGGCCTTCTGTGGGTAGACTTGTAGCTCTAAACAGCTCAGTAGTTCCACATCCCTGCAATACATCACTCACTCTTAAGAGAGAAAAGGCTTTCAAAACTGAGTCTAGACATAAAAGGTGCCTTCACTCAAACAAACAGCCAGAAGTGAAGTCTGTTGCACTGCCATTTTAGCAGAGTCCAAAGCCCAACAAAACAGATGAAGTAACTCATTTCTCAGTGGTGCAATACAGTAAGCACACTGCAGTGAATTACACACTCTTTCTGTTGTTTTCAAGAGCCATAAAGTTTAAAAATTATTTAAAGAAGAGACTCTCATGCTAAGTTTGGGGAAGCTTTAGGCCTCCTAGGGGGTTTATTTCCTAGCTGCAATTTATGAGGCCTCCATCAGACATTCAGGCAGTTGCAGCTTCAACACTACTGAGAAACGGGAGAAAAAAAATAACTTGAGAACACACTTGTAACTGCTGCAGGATTTCCAGATGTGGTCACCTACAAAATCCAGGCAGTGACCTGCTGCTCCTCTAAACTTCAGTGTATTATTTCAGAATGAACACAAGTGTTAAAAGCACTATGGCGACGCAGAAAGGCCAACCAGAATCTTCTCTCTGTAACAGTTAATCACAAAGGGCACCAAAGCAGTCTTATCATGACTGGACCTGATATTGTTCTGGCACCCTCCTCTCCAGCAAGACCTGAGTAACACTGCCTCCGACATCGCCCACAGTGAGCTCAGGTCATTCATTCATTGCTACACTTTCCTCATCACATGGCAGCTTATCAACTCCTCGAAATATCCTTGTACTCTAACTCTTGGCTTTCCTCCACCCCATCACAGCCTCATCTATCTGCTCACAACACGTCGTTGCCCACACTTATCTTCCATTGTCATTACGCAATCAGCACACAAAATGCACAACAGCCAAAAAGTCCAAAGCCCACATCTTCAAACTACAAATTTAACTCTTAACATACTTCCATACGACCCATGAAAAAAATGCCACACAAGCTGCTCATGGTTACTACAATCCCATTTCAGAGCTTGACCTGACAGCAGCCCCCCAGCTCAGAAGCTAAGCAGCACTTATCTAACGGCTGTTAAACACAGCAACAAGCCACATCCCAAACCTACAATGGATTTTAGCAGTGCTGTGTTCACACGCAGCCAAGGTTTCACAGTCCCCATTTGGTACAAGCTCACAGCAGAAGAGATCTGCAATCAGCATACAAGCTACATCTAAGTGGAAGATAGAACAGTGTGTCGCCTCCACCAAAAAAAAAAACAATCATCACTCTGAACTAAGCTGTTTCTATTTAAAATTTAGCAGGCTCCCACTCCAGGTGGTAAAAGAAAAGTGAAGTATGGTATAAAAATATCTTCTGAAAGTACATTCTTCTTTTGCCCTGACTGCTTAGGCCAGAACTTTAAGGCATATGCAGCGAAAGTTCAACGTGCAATGTGCTCTTCTCACTGTCTGATAAGCTGTTTTACTGAGCTGTTATCTCAAGATACAACAACTTTGGCTATGACAGTTGGAAAGAATTTGGAAACTGATACACGAATGTTTGGGAGGAAGATCACGCACAAAGAGAAGAGCCACCATCTCTGCCTGCCATCTGGACAGCCACACATTCCTTGCAGGAACCCTGCAGCAGATCTGGGGTGTTTTTACCGACAGAATCTAAAAAGCATCAATTCTTCAGAAACATCCAGTGAAAGGAAGAGATATCACAGCATGTGCTGCACAGTATATCAAGCTAGAGCAGCAAAAAGATACAATAATTACTGGTAGGAAAACACATCTTCCACCTTTTCAGTATTTACAAAGTGTATTTTCAAAAGGTATCTTTCAGTACTACCAGCTACCAAAACATCCCAAACACATGACAGCATTTATCTGTAAGCACGTCATTTCATACTTGCTCTGTTGTTCATCCTCAACAAAGAGAATCTACAGCAGGCGTTATACAGGAATTATCAGCCCTAATCTAAAGAAAATAAAGATTTCCAAGACAAACACTTTAACTCTGCAAGGATATACATTCTACAGCGATCACAAAGGACTAATGATTAAGTGCTGCTACCAGTCAGGAGCACACAGACAAGTGGAAGCACCTCACCTAATGTGGCAGCTGCGGCGAGCCCGGCTGCGTACGGATCCGTCCCTGGAGGAGCAGCGCTGATGATGTACGGATTGGGGACAAAGGCAGCAGGAGCCAGACCTGCTGAAAACACACCTGTCAGTAAAAACAAACTTGACTAGAACTGAAGCCCTACTGAAATACCTCCAGCTGTCTGGCTGGGGACTCGACTGACTGAACACTGCGGAACAAGGGCTCACGTTGTTTTAGTATTTTCAGGCTTTTTATTGGTTGTTTTCCCTGTGCTTCCCAGTGTTGTTACAACAACCTAGTGAGGATATAATTTACATTAAAAAAAAGAAACACTGGATTCCAAACCTGCAGTGCTGCATTAAGAAGGCTAAAGCGGCACGACAGCCTGCATACAGTATAACAGTGACATACAGTACCTGTGAACTGCTCAGGTATCTCAGCAGTGCAGATACACCCTTGCTGTTTAAGTGGCTATTAACACCAGTTAGATGTTAGCATTATCTAATTTGCTTGTTTTGATGAGTAAGTTATCAATTTTCCCTAGTTTCTGAGTGCCATGCCATGCCGTTGTAGCAGTGCTTCAATTTGTGAGTCTGGAAGGAGCTCAGGAATGCATGGACAACATCATGGCGTGCTCTTAGTGTCTCTGCAGGCACTATCTTTCTCCTCAAGGTACAGTTTAATCATTAGAGAAATTATTGGGGGGCGGGAGGGGGTGTGGAAGATGATAAAGGTGAAAGAGAATAAGTCAAGAAGCCAAGGAATTTTAATTCAGGTCCATCCCTGATCTCCACTGAGTGCATAACTGCACAGCACAGAGCTGACAGAACCCCACACAATGGGCTTTTAGGTTCCAAAAACTACCCGCCAATTTGCCTCCTGTACTAAAAACATTTAACCCTGAGATTGTTCAGCTCTAATCATCCAGGAGCAGCCCTTCCATCGGTCTGTTACTCTATACAGAGTACCCAAGTGCTTTCCTCCCACTTAATCCATACTGCTTTAATATTACAGATCATGCATTTGCATAAATTACAGCTTTAAGTTAAATTCAGACCCCAAGCAGCCTAAAATTCTACCTTGTGCTAATTTAAACATAGACTGTCAAGTAGAAAACACATTCAGGTGTACACAGGATTTACATGTCTTCCTCATTTCAGTGCAGCCAATTCACACCTGACTTGGAGCAAGCAAGTACTTCAGAACGCTCCCACTGCTGGGAGTGCTGTTCAGCAAAGTAAGTGTGTGTCACTCCTCCCAGACACCACTGCTCTGGAGCTTCTTGCAACTGTACAAGGACTTTTTTTTCTCCTGGACTTTTCAAGTAGTCTTCAGACACTGTTCTTCTCTTTATGGTTCAGGTACTTACCAGTTGGAAAAACACATCTAGGATTCTCTAAAACCCACCAACTCTTTCTCCCTGTAGTCTTCCCAAAATACTCTGAGGACTAAGAGACCACTAGAAAAAGGCAATGTAAATACTAGGCTTACCTATGTGAGGCTGATGGGCAGCTGCCAATGCATACTGCTGCTGCTGGGCTGCTGTTAGCTGCTGAACAGCAAGTGCATTCGGTCTTTGGAACAACTGAAGGGACAAAAGAACAAATACGGTCCTTTATTTATGCACAAAAATCAATTTAAAAAAAAAAAAACAACAAAAGATTCCTCTACTTTTATTCGCACAACTACCGACACTCCTTTTTAGCAGGAAACATTTCAAAAGGAAATTTAAAACAGTACATTTGAAACCAATTGCCTGTGATGATCCACTTAAAAAGAAAATATTTCTCAAGTACAGCTAAATCCTACCCACGGTTCTTCTGCCGTTCTCTGCACAGTTGCCCCAAGGCCCTGCCTCCCCAGCTTCACACACACACACAGGATCACCAGGGGCTGCCACAGCTCTTGTAGAGCCTGAGCACCACCAGCTATGTTGAGAGCACTGCTGCATCAGCTGGCAGCCTGGGCTGCTTTCACAGGTGTTCTGAAATGGGTCGTGGGACAGCAGGCAGAGGGGAAAGCTCCCATGGGAGAGATGAAGCTCTTAGGATAAATGCAGGAGCTCACAAACCCTCAGATACATGAGGGAGAAAATGCTTTTTTCCTCTACTTTCTAGCCTCCAGCATTATCTTATGTAAAACAAGGCAAGCAGCACGTATTCTTTGACCACAGACAGAAACCAGACCCAGGGACTTCTTGGTGAAGTCATCCAAAGCACATCCAGGCTTGCCAACTTACAGTTCGCTCCAGTCTTTGGGAACAATGTGCAGCGTTACTGAGAACAGTCATTCTTAATATGGAATACCACCAGTCTTTAAAAGAACATGCCCTTTTTTTTTTTCTGTTCACCCAGACTCTTACTAAGCTCACTTCCTGTGCCAGAGATGCCTCTAAGTCAATGAAACACTCCCTGAATGACAACATTAGCACACCATTGTTCATCTCCAGTAAGAACACTGAAAATACATCCTGAAAGCCACCCTAAAAATTCTCAGGAGCAACGTTCCTCCCATTTACTCCCCAAAGTGATCTTTTCTGAGGTGTGAATGACTTCATAAACCACTGTGATAGATGTTTTCTCTCTGCAATTGCTTGGGGAAAAAAAAAAAAAAAAAAAAAAACCCAAAAATACCGGTGCCTAAATGCTATACAATTTTCACATCTATTATCCCTGCCTTCCTTTCAAAGTCCCAACCAAGACAACCAAAGCTTCTGCTGTCAAAAGCAACAATAATAATTCTGCCCAAATTTCTGGCAGAAACCTGCAACCAACAAGAAGCAGAGAATCGTTTAGAAAGTGAGATGCAATTATAGGCAGACTGTACTTAGCTCTCCTAAGAACAGGAAGAGGAGCTGTGTTGTTTAAGCAGAAAATATGAATGAGGACAGGTGACAGCCTCCATCCATTTTCTTCTCTTTTTTTTTATCGGTTCAGAAGGAGAAACAACGCGCAAAGATCACGAGGTGGAAACTCAGTACTTGGGGATCACAACCCAGTCACTGCTGCCTTCCTACTGACTGCTGACCCCTGGAGGTGCCCCTGTGCACAGCTGAGCAGCACCATAGCGCTCCTTTTGGGAAACGCACCACACATCCGCAGGGATTTCATCACCTCCCTTGTTCTAGTGGTCTTCACACAGAAAAAAGCACTCAGCGATACCTGATGCGTATATAAAGTTCTCTGCTATACCGTTAGCAGCCAGATCAAACGGTGTCATTGCTTAGCTCAATAAAGCATGCACATCACATACAGCAACCTATGGGATGTGGACTGAAGGATCCTGGCTCTGTAGGAGCTTTCAGCAGCATGTTCTCAGCTCAGTCAGCAGAACTATCAGTTTAGAAACAAAACAACCCCAAACTGCTGCAGCAATGAACAATGAGCCTGGTTTCCCGCTCCACTGATCTCAGTGATCCATGCATTCTAGCTTTCTTCTGCTACAAACACTTCACCCACTTCCACACTCTTGCACCCCTGGCTCAGCTACTCCAGCCTGCTGGGCTGCACTGTGCCGCAGCAAGAAGCAGAAGCAATGCTACATAACCAGTCGTCGGTCCAAGGGGCAAGAGAAACATTTACCTTCCCTGAAAATAATGTTTTAAGTGCTCAGAAATTACTGGGAAGATTTCCACATCTCCCAACTGTATCCCAGGGATTCATTTTTTAATTACTACCAGCTACTCCATGCACGAGTATGTTCCCCCACTGGTTTTTATTTATTACTATTATTATTGTCTGCTTTCCCTCCTGTTCGCAGCTGCTCACTGTGAGATCTGACTTCCAGACCTCCAGTTCCACACCAGCTCTGTCTATTTGCCACTGCTGAAATGAGGGCACAACAGCCAGCACTGCAAATGGCCACTGCCAACAGCCATTAGAGTGCACCTCAAGGCTCAAAGAGGAAGACTGAACAAAAATGCTTTACCTAAAATGTAACAGATGGGAAGAAAAAGGGACAGGATGCCAGGGCACAGCACTTTCATCTGCCTCACAAATAGAATATCAGGAGCATCCCTCTTCTGCACCCTAATCTCACAAAGAAACCTGCAGATTTAGCTATGACTGCTTTCCCAGACATATTACTGAGCTTTCTTTAAAACCACATGCAAAGCTTTGGCCATTTACATTGTGCTGCACACAGGAGGAAGGGCTGGATTCCTTCCGTCTGTCTGTGGAAAGCCTCTCACATCCCTTTAAGTTGAAATGCAGTTTCCCTAAGCCTACAGCCAAGGCTCAACTTACCGTGAAGAAACTGTGTGAACAGCTAAAATGTTCTGCAGCTTTCTACTTTCTGTAACACAGAGAGGGGAGCAGAGCAGAATTTCAGGCTGTGCTCGGGCAGATAAATGCCACACAGCAATGGCAATCATCAGCATCACGCATTTAGTGGAAGCGTTATTAAGGCCTCAAGGCACTGCCTCCATCTGCTGACAGCACAGCCCCAGATTCCAAAAAAAATCAAAGGCTAAAGGTAAAACTCCACTAAAGATTTTTGCCATCTTATTCAGAAACCGTGCACTGAGTTTGGGTTAAACCACATCTGTATGGTGGCATCTGCTAAGTGGAAATAAAGGAAGAAAACTCTTCACAGGACTATTTTAGCCTGTTACAAATTACACTCAGTGTAACCTGCAAACAGGTGAGGTAGTTCAGGAGGATGTCAGCAGTTTGCACACACAGGTATGCAGCCAAAGCACCAACTGCAGTGTGTGGGACACAGAGGGAATTTCAAGGACCCAAAACGTCACAGCCTGTGTTACTCAGTTATGGGAACACTGCACAATTAGATTTCTGTAATCCAGTTGCTTCTGCAATATAAACATCTGACAACCACATCTAATCTGATTAGAGATAAGACCTTTCCTTCCTAATATTGCTTTTAGCTGCACTTAATTGCAATCCCTTCAAAGCATATGATGCTTCCCTACGGACCAAGAAAGGCATTATTAAAGAAGAGATCCTTGGTCCGGGATGCATCTTCTTCTGACAACAAGCAAATGGAAGAACACCCGTATGAAAGACGTGTGTCTTTTGAAGTGCAAGTCTTAACTGCAGATGCAGCAAATACTGAGAACCAGCAGCTGCCAGCCATAACATGAAGGAAATGGGTCCTCCTCTTTGAGCCAGCACACACTGCATTTACACCAGCGTGTACTGAGAGGGCACACGTGGCAGTGAAGAGAAATAAAAGCGAGTTCCTGTCTTTAATAGTACACTTACAAAAGCCTGCTGCTTGTGTTTGCTGTGGGTGTAAGCAGCTATTGCAACTAAGCTGAAATTTTTAAATAAACACATGCATTACACAGCCTATTTCTACCCAGACACTCTGCACACCCACCCAGTCCCAGCTATAGAAGCCTCAGAGCTCTGCAGCCCCATAGGCAGCCCGGAAAAAAGAGCTTCCAGCATGAGATTACAGTGAGATTGCATCAGCTCTGCATAGGTATGAACCTATCTGCTTCACACAGGAGAGACGGCTCTGCCTACAAGGCCATCCAGAGCCTGAACCCAGAGATCCATGTTGGCACACACGCTTTCCAGGCAGACTGCTCTGACAGATTTTTCTATTTCATTCATTTTACTTGTGAGGCTCAAGATGTGTTTATTTTAAATCCTATTTTTTAAAGGCTAGGAGAGAAAAGTAACTTGCAAATGAGCCTTAAAATAGAAAAGATTGCCAGACAAAATACAAATGACAGGCTTTACATCTCTGCAGTTATTTTCCTAAACCTACTATTTCCTTAAAAATCAGTTAGCTTAGCTCCAACAGTGTTTGAACAGAACAAGATTCTCTGTTTTAAGAAGCTGAAATACGCAAAGACAGGCACTTAGAAGTTCTACATCAGAGTAAGACAAAGCCTTGAAAATAGCTTTCTTCTTTCTCCTTTCTGAACTACACAGCAGCTATTTAGCTTAATCATTTTTAAAGATGTCCACCATTAACTACTGCAGCATGCTACCTAACAGAACAATTGAATGAACTGTAATGCAGTTATTTATATTGCTTTTAAGACCATAATAACTCTCTGAAGGTGGGCCTTTAGCATCAACGTGGCAACAGCCCGTCCTCAATACACAGCGCCGATCAGGCTTATTTTGCTGGAAAAGATCAGATATTCCAGGAAACTCAGGGCTGCTAAAATTCTCCTGCAATAAGCTACAACAAAGGATTTCACTCCTCTTTGAAGAATATTACACGCACAAAAGGAAAGCAATAAACATTTACAGTTGTTACCCCAACGAGCAGGAACAGGACAAGATTACAGGTCGATGGTTGGATCCTGGCCCAGCATTCAGGAAAGGCCAAACAGCAAGGCAAGGACTTGCTTTACCTGTCTGGGCTGAGCACTTTGTGCCTCTAATATGGGAGAAAAGGTCAAACAAACCTGCTGGGCTCAGATAAGCTCTGCAGTACTGGACTCCGATCACAGGCTTTGAGCCACGCTCAGTGAGAGCCTGGCCTCTGAGCAGCACTGCCCTGACCCCAGAGCTGAGCTGCAGCCCCAGGGTTAGACAGCCTGTAAGTCACTCAAAAGGCTCAAGGAGTTTTGCTAATCAGCACATTTTATTAGTTAAAAACTCTTCTCCACTGCACACTTACTTAAATGCTAGAAATGATCCATCTATAAACAGATGTATGGTGTAAAGAAACCATCCCAAGCCTTCGGCCATCCTGCCCACAGCGCAAGAGCCTGAGCTCACATCAACACCCTGAGACCTCCGGGGAGGAACCAGGGCAGCAGAGAAGGACCCTGTGCCAGAACTTTACCTGCTGCTGGGAATTGTAATCGAAGAGCCCCACGGTGGCTGCAGCTGAGTCCACAGGTACCTGGGTTCCAGAATAATCAAACTGCAGAGGCTCCATGCCAACGTGCTCCATGGGATCCAGGGGAACGCTTTGTGACTCTATGTTGGAAAAATCCTCCACGGGCTTGGCACCATTAGTACTCGCCAGCTGGGCTAAGCCCTCAGATCCATTCTGATTTGGACCCAGAAGATCTACTTCACTAGCAGAGTTCTGGCAATTACCAGGTGTACGGCTGCACAGAGAGGAAACAGGTCCATCACTAAGCATGTACATTCAGTGCTGCCACACAGCATCAGTTCAGAGCAACACAGTACGACTCACTAGAGACAATGCAGATGATGCTATAAAGGTTAAAAAAAAAAAAAAGAAATTCTAGGGAGCTATTCCAGATCCTCCTTTTACAAATTCTACAGAACAACCTGTGTAACTATTAACAAAGCTGTGACACTGCAGCTCACTTGAAAGCTTTTTGAAATAGCTGTCATGGCTTCCTACTTACTCAACATAAGCACTGAACTGAAGTGAGAAATGGTTCATCCCAATTCAAGGGCAAGCAGTAAACATCTCACAGTGTATTTGTTTTCCTTCTACAGTTCTAGGTGTCAACATAAGGCTCAGCAAGCAAACTAGCAAGAAACAGAAAGGCTTTCTCAGATTTTATCAGTAGCCCAAATTTCATCACTCGTGAGATGTGAGGAACAAGTGCAAAAACTCAACTGCAGTTTAGCCCAGCCTCTAAGCAGGGACAACACCTACAGCAGGTATTTTTCCAAAGCAGTCTCTCACAAAGTAGCTAACAACTGGTGTGAAAATAACATCATATAGTGCAGAATTAGGGGGCTCAGTACAGATCATCAGTTATCACCCACCTTCTCACAAGTGCTTTCCTATGTGCACATTACAGCATCCTTATGACACTGCTTAAGCCAGGTTTTTACTATTGCTCTCACAGCACAGAAGATTTTGCAAAAAATTTAAGTAATTAAGTGTGATGCTGATTAATTACTAATGCACGGCGCACATACCTGAAGTCTTTGACATCTGTGTCAATTCCGTTCTGCACAGGCAAACCGTTTGTTTTATCCATCACATCTCCCTCCTCCTTCAGATCTCCTAATTTATCGCCATCAAATGTGCCCTTATTTTTCTTATCCCCTTTGTCATTCTCATCATTCTCTGCATCCCTTGGCCCCTAGGCAAAAGAAACATTAATAAGCTTGAGTTTCAGATCAATTTTGCTTTCATTCCAAGATGTTAACAAATCAAAGAAACATGTCACAATAAATAAGTAATTTTCAAGCATTAGTTTTTACAAATAAAAACATAAAAAGAGCAAAATAGTCGATCACGATCAAAAGAAACAAGGGAATTACTTTTCATTTCATTCCAAAAGAGATTACATCTACCTCCTCAGTTTCTCCCATTTAGTAATTCAGAGCCTGACTCTACCACTCTAAAAACCCCATCCCAAAATTATTTTTAAAGAATATTTACTAAATACCTCTCTTTTAAATTGGACTCAAGGCACCCCAAAATCAATTTGGGAGCGTTAAATACAACAGCATGTACAAAGGTGCATAAACTGAACTAGTGCCTCTCCAAAAGGAAAATGTCCTGAACTGCAAGAGGGGACATTTAGTCAGACATCAGGCAGAAATCTTTACCCAGAGACGTGAGGCCCAGCCGTGCAGCCCAGAGCTGGGGGTGTCCCATCCCTGGAGGTGCCCAAGGCCATGGATGTGGACACTCAGCCCACAGCAAGGGGCTCTGAGGTCCCTTCCAACCCAACCACCCCCTGCTTCTATCACTTAGCATCTCCATGTCAGAGATGCAGTAACTGACTGGGCAAGTGCATGCATTCAAGCAGGATGGGGCACCACGCAGCTGCCTCATTTTTCAGGGGCACTACTGCAATTTGCAGACTGAATGTCAAGGTGCAACTTATAAGAGCATCCGAGTCGACCACTAACTTGATCATACAAACCTAAAGCACTTTGAGAAAAAGATTTTTAAAAAGGGAAAGAAGGATTTCATTTCTGCTGAGCATTTTTGTAAGCTGTATGGCATCCTCAGCATCCCTACCCTTACGTCTGTGTTTCATTTCACTTGGGAGAAGAATAAAGGGTGATTATGCCACTGGCAGTTTTCAACAACAGAAAGGAGAGGAAAAACAACATAATTAATGATAAAAACAGCAAGGGGCATACAAACATCTTTATCACTGATAGCTCTGGTGCTGTCAAAGACCCCTCTGAAGCTGAAGGAAAAGTGCTCTGCAGAAAGCAGGACATTTTTCCATTCCCTCCATTTTAGTGGTAGAGAGGGAATTTTTTTCCCCTGGATTTAGAGAAAAGCAATCATAGTCTGCTGTTTATTCTTACATAAAATCTAACTGTTCTTACTGATACTTGAGAGCCCGACTGCAAATGTCAATTATAAATACAAATTCAGAGCTCAGCTCTCACCTCCACAAGGTGGTATTTACAAATGAAATCCTTCGTTTCAGAACTGACCTCCTGACCACCAGCACTACACAGCAGATACCTCTCTGACTCTGGATGATAAACTGACTCCTTCCACTGATTGTTCTTTTTTTCCTCCAAAAATCATCTTTCTCAGGCTCAGGGCGCAACAGTGTTATCAGGGGCCCGCTAATGAGGGGAAAAACAGGAGGATGGATGAAGGAGACCAGGAATGGGCTCCCTGAAGAGATGAGCACAGCAGTCTCCTAGCAGTAACAAACCTACTCTGCTTTTATGTTTCTCACTGATCCAGCACTCAGCTGATGAGGCGGAGCTGAGATGTGGCTTTTTTTCCCCCCCACTGTGAGGATGGGGCTTGATTATGCCTCCACTGCCACATGCTTAGATTTGAGGCAGCAGTGACTGTGCTTTCTTCCCCATCCCACCAAGCAACAGTGACTAATGCTATTTCTCCACAGGAAACAATATGCCCTTGAAAGCATTCCCAAACTGGAGTGGCTTATGCTCCTAGCATCATTACATGGAGCTTTTTGTTCTCAGCCAGCAACAAAGCATCCACACGTTCATCCAAAAACCACACTTGGCTACATGGATATTTGCATACTTTTCAACAGAAAAAAGGTTTAAATGGTGCTCCTGCAGGTCTGCTTCTCCTCAGAACCAGGGGGTGTCAGCCACCTTCAACTCCTTTACACCCACGTCCCACACTGCACCCCCTCAGTCGACACTGGCCTACCCGTTTTAACAGAGACGGCTGAATTGAAAGAGCAAATAAAAAAAGAACAGAACATCCGCGTCTAGGAATGGATTAACAAACAAACAAACAAAGCAGCAAATGGAGAAAACAACATAATGGAAACTCAAATTTCAGAATCAGGCACACTTACAAATCCTCCTTTCCTTAGGCAGGAATCTCCAGGAGATGAGCTCAACACATATTCCACCATGCTAACTCCAAGTCCTCCACTCTCTGACCGTGGTGAAAGCACTGAGTTGACTTCACTATTCACATGAAAGCCCTGACCAGGTCTTCTCTGAACCATAATTGGTTGGGAAACAGAGTGATCTGGAACAAAAACGTGTAATTCTTGTAAGTAGATCCAACTATTTGAAGGAGGCAAGTCATTAAACATGTACTCCCCGATGTCTTAATTGTACTAAGAAGTGCCAGCTTTTTGACTTTGACGCCCACTGGAGAAGGATGGCTTTCTCATCCCTAATATTTAAAGCTACAAGGGATACATATACATTCCTGATATATAAAGGACCTATAAAGCTACAAGGGATAACTGCATTCAAACTCCAAAATCATAAAATTTCAGAAGTTTGACTCTAAGTGAGGGCTGCAATTAAAAAACAAAGTTTATTCACTTTTATTAAAACTCATGTTAGTAAATTGAAAAAAAAGTCTCCATTTAAACTAGAACTATTAAACTATAACTATTATTTAAAACATCATCCTACAGTTATGCCAGCTTACATTTGTTTTCCTGGTCATATGACTGACCATAATCATATCTCATCATTGCAGTTTCTCCTAGCTGCTATTTCCTCAACAGAAGTTTAAGAACTTCAATCCTTCCTCCCAGCCCCCTGCCCTCCTGCAGCAGCCCCATCTCTTTATCCCCTTTGTGCTTCAAGGGTTTGAAATCCAACCAGAGCCTACGTAAGGATAGATGTCTCCAAGTTCTAACAAGCTCTGCAGAAACTGCTGGCTGGGCAGGAGGTGACCTTCCATCCCAGTGAGGGAAGGGAAGACGTACTCAGCTTCTGCATGTTCAGACCGGTAACAGCCAGCAAGTTAAAAATTACTGGGAGACAGCAGCACAGCTGCCAGGGGCTGGAGGAAGAGGCTGACACTGATACTGCAGCTTCCCCCTCAGGCATAAACCATCAAGAGAAAAGGTCTATTCCATTCTTGCTCCTAGCTACACTTTCTTGCCTTCTCTCTGAAGCACGAGTATTTACCCACCCTCAAAGTGAAGTGGACCAAGAATTATCTGGGATAAAACTAATGAAGAAAGGAGATAGTTTTAACCCGGATCAATCTCCCAGCAGCTTTCATTGCACTGCTGCATAACCACCTGCACCTTCAGGAGAAGAAAGAAGCAGCCTTTATCAGACAGAACCACTCCTAGCAGCGCTGGCTTTAAATGCTCTCTTCCTACCACAAGCTATAGGAGTGAAGGACCACAGCCATGCGGATGACTGCAGTGCATACTGTGGGCTCAGAAGAAGGGAAAAGGGATGGAGCAAGAGGTATGTTACGGAAAATCAGGCTTCACCAGTTCCACCGCTCATGGAACAAACCCGACTCCTGGCCAGGGACACTTGCACACCCCACCTCCACAGTGCTCTCTGGCAGTGACCTGGAACAACTGCTCAGCTCATGGCTGTTCTCCTTGGTTTTGATGAGCAGAATGGGAAACTCTGACTTCCCTGACTCTCGGACAGTAGTGCAGGTCAGAGCTGGGGAATAAAGGCTGCAAGGTGCACTGGATTAACTGAGAATAAACAAAGGAGGAGATGAGACTACAGGCTTTGACTCATGGAGATCTGCCATCAGTCAGTGTAGGAGGCTGCCTCCCCCACGTCTCTCCTGCTCGTCTGGTGCATGCAGCCAGCCCGACAACTGGCGGCACAGGAGAAAGTCTCGCTCTCAGCTGTTGCTGTTCACAACCTGGCCCAGCCCTTTAATCCACCCTCAGCACAAGCAGCACAAACTGCAGCTGAGGACTGGATGCACGCGCTGCAGGCTGCAGTCAGACAGCTGGAGGCAGCAGCTCCCTGAGATCTGCCCAGCCTCACAGCCTGCAAGGTTCAGCTGGGAAGATTCTGATCTATTTTTGCCAGGCAAACAAAACAAAACAGAAAAACAGCAGAGAAATTGCTCACTTGGAGCTGTGCCTCCACACAGTTTGGATACTGCACAGGGTGCCCAGCAGTGTCTAAGGAGCACAGTCAGTACAGATAGAAAGCACCAAGAGTTAAAAGTCAACATTTCAAATTCAACACATGCATATGGTTTTTCTGCCAGTTAGCTAAAATAAACCTGAACACTTTCCCCTCTGAAGTTCAAAATATGGGACAGTCTCCCATCCAAGAACAAAATTCTTGGCAGATAAACTTCAACACAACTAATTCAAAACATCTCTTCATTTATTTCAGAATTGATGTTTTTGGGCTTTGGCTCGTTAAGTATTTAAAAATTACTTTTTTTCCTCCACCAATGTTGTTCTCTAATGTCTTTGTTCAGTCTTAAAGCAAACCATCCCAAAGCAGAAAACGCATCAGAAAGTGTTAATTCCAATTCTAACTGCTACCTAAAATTTTTAAGGAGATAAATGTAAGGGTACAAGTATTCACACTTGGCAATCTTTTTATACCCATGGATATCTTTCTAACTCTAGCACAAAACAATGTGGTTTTAAAGGTTTTATTATTATTATTATTACGTAAAACAGATGTTTTTTTGTTTTTTTAAACATTTTAAAAGCTGTGTCATCCAAACTGGCCAGCAATTTTGAGCAGAGGAATTGCATGTTTCTGTGTTCAATTCCAACTAAATTAAGTAAATAATTGAGCTACCTGATGTTCCCCAAGCACTGTCTCTCCACTGATCTCCCAGAAATATCCCTTTTGGTCCATCTTTGCTGGAATCATCAGATTCCCAAAACTTTTTACCCGGCAACAGCTGCTGCAATTAAAAAAAAAACAAAACAAAGCATGATTAAAATAAGTATAAAATGCAAACATAAACCATAAGCGTCTCCCTTCTAAACATGAGTCAATCATTAAACACAAACTGATACATGCTTATAATCAAAATATTTATACACTCCTAGGGTGTAAGCCGTACAGCAATGGAGACAATAACTCAATCTCAGCAATCCTCTTACATTCTGAAATGCTTTACAGACACTGCACACGCAAGCACACGCACACAATTCAATTGTGCAGCCTCTCTACACAAGGGCAAGTGGCAAGAAAAACGTTCACAGGAGCACTGCTGTGATGAGAACACTCATGATTTCAACCTGAGCTGCGAGGATACCTCCAAAACCACCCAGTATTGCCAGCAGGAGTCCTTGCCTACCCAGGTTCTGGTGCTGGCAGGGATAGAATATAGAAGAGGTGCCAAGAGCTCTCACTTCTCACTTGCTTAATGACTGCTAAGGGCTCCCAGTGCTATGAAGGTTATTGGTAAACAATAATAAGAGCGAACAGTTCTGGGCCACCATACCTGCCACGCAGGCATTGTTCCTGCAAGATGAGAGGAGAAAGGCAATGCACTCACTGAGGAGAGGAGAGGTCACCACTGACTCGGATAACTCAAGGAAGACTGTACAGAAGCTCGGAAGAAGGCAAAAAGAACAACGTGCACCATTCAGGGGATGCATTTTAAAACACTGTGTGGCATCCAAATACGGCAAAGGGAATTTCAAGCACTCCTTAAGTGCCTTGGATATCAAGCATACAATCTTTCAATTAAATCCTCAGGCTGAATGAGATGTATGTAATTGGGACAGCAAACAACACCACATTCACAGCAAATTAAAAAAAAAAAATAAATGAGCCTTGCCTGATGAAGTTGGAATAAAACAAGGAACTGGAAGAATTGCAAGTACTCGCATCTGTACAGAATTACCATAGCACAAATAAGAGTATTAGATCAGTCAAATCTCTTATATATATTAGTGCTGATAGCTCTACACTCCGCCAGAGTATAGAGCTTGCGTACAAATTTAAGGCTACAGCCTAACAGACTGTGGGGTGAAGGCAAAGCAACAGCAAACAACTTCAGAGCTCACAACTTCCAGAGCCCTTTGGTTTAAGGCAGGGAACAAAGAAAAGCAGAGCTCACTCTTTACCTTTCACTTCAGGAAGACCTTCCTACCCAGCATCACAAAGCAGCTCTGTATGCATGAGCTTAACTCTGATGTCCCCAGATTGAGATAACTAGGAAACACCATAATTAAGATAAGTATTATAATGCAAACAGCACTCATTCTAAGCAGCAAACGAAAAGCAGAACTTCCAAATTCTCAGAAAGTCCCGCTGCAAACTGGAGTGCAATTCCACCCAGTAATTGAATGAACACTCAATGCTGCTGTTGCCTAGAAGTGATTTTGCTCTTGCACTGGTATCAGCTGAGATTAAAATCAACATGTGACAAACAAGCACAGGAAAAAATAAAGTGAGATGTGTCAGGGAGAAGCCTGTGCAGACACAAGATGGAGGACAGAGGTGTGCAGCAGGCACAGAGCTCAGCACTGCAGCCACTACTGCTCCAAGCCCTGTCTCAAGCTGCAGGGTTTTGGGCACACTGCCACAACCTGGGTAAGATCTATACAAGCCCCCAAAGGCAACAAACCAACGCACCCCCACTCACACAGCCTAATCAATACTAAAATCCAGGAAGTCGCTCTCAGATCATAGAATCACCAAGTGTGGAAAAGACCCCTAAGGTCATCCAGTCCAACCACCCACCACCAGTATTTCCCCACTGAACAGACATTCACACATACATGAACACAGTGCCTACAAGCCTCCCTTTAGCACTAGGTTCCAGACAGTTCTGATCCTCAAACACCAAACTTCCACTGCTCCCAGCCCCTGGATCACGGCACACCACCCACACCCCAAAACTCCCTGTGCTGCCCAAGAAAGACCATTTATTGCTCCTTTTCCCTACCAGATATCCCATTCTACTTCTAATCTCTTTTTCAGCAGTGAGTCATCTCCACCCAAATCTCTCAAAAACAGGACAGGGAAAAAAAAACACCTAAGTAAGAAAGCTTTGTAATGTAAGTGCTAAGCTTCCTCCGGATTTTATTGTCTTCTTTTTACCAAGAACAAGACCCAGCTCGTTATTTTAACTCTTAACCCACGAAGCAGTAACAGCATTTTTCTTGGCTGCTCCTTCCTCGCAACCAGAGGCAGAAACACCACAAGATCAGCAGGTCACTTGCTTTTTAGATACCTATTGGTGCTTTTGTTTTTAGTTAGTTAGGTTTTAGTTAGGTTTTGTTATTAGTGACAGCATAAGCTGCTCATGAGCCTCCCAAGTGATCAATGGAAGCAGTGCAGCTTGCACCACTCCTCTTTCTGTGGCATTCAAACAAGACATCCGCAAGGACAAGTGACCACCAGCAGCTCATGCCCAAACACAGCAGTTCCCCCATCACAAAACCCAGCTCCTCCAATCCTGCAGCTGCACCCCACCAACACCTGCTCTCCCTCCACCATTTCAGAAAGCAACAGAAATCCATTAAACAAAGCTTCTCACGTCCCATGAAGAAAGGTTGAGGGAACTGGGCTTCTTTAGCTCAGAGAAGAGAAGGCTCCAGGGAGACCTCTTTGTGGCCTTCCAGTACTTGAAAGGAGCAGATAAACAGGAGGGGGAACGGCTGTTTGTGAGGGTGGATGGTGATGGGACAAGGGGGAATGGTTTTAAATTAAGAGAAGGGAGGTTTGGGTTGGATATGAGGAAGTTTTTCCCCCAGAGGGTGGTGAGGCACTGGCACAGGTTGCCCAAGGAGGCTGTGGATCCCCCATCCCTGCAAGCATTCAAGGCCAGGCTGGATGTGGCTCTGGGCAGCCTGGGCTGCTGGTTGGTGACCTGCACACAGCAGGGGGTTGGAACTGGATGAGCGCTGTGGTCCTTTTCTACCCAGGCCATTCTGTGATTCTATGTCCTTTAATGATACCTCACAGTGTAAAGGGACACAGTGTGCAATGGGCAAAGCTCAAATGAAAAGATGAGAAGAAGCACAGACTTGCAGAAAGCAGACAGGAAGAGCTGAGCAGCATTAGAGCATTTTTTTTAGCCAAGGAAAGAACATCATCTGGTTTATGGGAAAACCCAACTCCTGCCATATGTTCCTGAGTTTCCAAAAAGTAAATACATTTTCCTAGTATACTCAAGAAAGCAACAGTAAACTCTATACTTAGAAAATTTATTTCGACTCTAAGAAAAAAGGCAGCTTTAACAAAAAAAAAAAAAATCATATATAAGAGGAAATGCACTAGGCCAGCATAGAAGGGCAAAGGGGAACCAAAAATGATATTGGTGTGAGCCGCTGTGCTCACGTATGAACTTCACACACAGCACCACAAACTGCACAGCTAACTAGGCAAGAAAAAAGAACCACCTTCCTGTGCATCTGTGTTACTGAGGCACAACAAGCTGTTATGAAGCGTCATGCACAGAGCAAGCTTTTATTTACATGTTGGTTGCTCGTTTAATAAACATTTCTATTTTCTTGAGAACAAGCTGATTCACTACCACAAAAGACAGCAAGACTCTGTCCTCTGGCTCGAGGATGACTTCAGAGTAATTTAATCCTCCATTGCTTCACATACCCTCTATCCCTTTCTTATTTTGCCCTTTAACAATGTGGTGCTGAAGAACTGTACCTGAACACCTTACAGTTTTGCTGTGAATCACAAATAAGGATTAGAACAACGTTCTGATACTTGCTGTCTCACACACATTGCACAACAAAAATAACAGCATTTCTGTTCCCTGCAGTTTAATCTTTTTCACCAGAAAATTTCAGACTGAAAGCCCTTGCTTCAGTAGAAAAAGAATACTAAAGTTTAATTTCCATATGGATTCTGTGTGTGTTTACAGCTGGGAAGGGCAAGAAGCAACCAAAAGACAGTTGCAACAGATGTAAAGGGGGTCCTCGCCCTGTCAGTGAGGTTCAGCAATTATTTCCACTGAAGTACAGAACAGCCCACCAAGATGATGAATTTTCCCTTAGGGAAAGTTGCTAGTTGTGATGGAAAAGTTACTCCAGCAAAAATAATCCAAGTTCTTCAGTGTGAAAATTAAAAAAAATAAAAAAAATGCAGAGGTCAGCAGAATAGGTCATTTGTTCTGTTTTATTTATTAAAATTGACCTTATCTAGTACGAAAATAATCCCTCTAAGCCCTCTTACAAAGGACTTATAGAGTTAGGCCAATATTCAATTTAGCACAGGGAGGAGGGCTGACATAGACATCAACAAAAGCAATGCTACGTCAACAAGTACTGAGCCTGTGTGTATGGGCCCCCTGAGATGGGATTATGAATTAGACAAATTAAGTAAACCGATCCCCTTCAGACAATGCAAATATTAAGATAAAAGAAGCCATCTGTGCCCCACCACAGCAGTTGGAGAACTCTGCTTCTCTGCAGTAACAGGTACGGACAGGCAGAGCACGTATTCACAGGTCCCATTTGGGCAGCATTGCAAATTTACAAACACTAAGATGTTATCTGCCCTCAAAAATGCTGCCTCCAAAAAGCAAACCGTGTCGAGACTGAGCGCACAAGCAGCAGCCCGAGCTGGATCCCTCTGACAAGCTCCCTGCTGCCAGGACAGCTCGTTACCCCACCCTGAACTGTGGGCAGCTTTGTGCCTTGCTAGCAGGGCTCTGGCAGAAAAAGAGCCAGCACAAAGAAGAGGCAGGATGACATTACTGGGAACAGCGTGGAAGATCTAAACAACAACCCCTCCATCTTGCTGTGCTGACAAGCTGTGAAATGCATGGCAGCAAACCCACAGACATGAGCTGCCTCTCTGCAGCCACCAGTGCAGATCCAGCTGCTCCTGGTGAGATGCTGCTCAGCCCCTGCTCTGAGCATCCCCAGCTGCTGAGGCACTGCACACCCACAGTCCTCCCACTTCCAATGCTGCTAGCATCAGATGACTAACAAAACTGTACTGAAAAATTATTCACATCTTTCAGTAGTCCACAGTCCAGCAGCCAATGAATCATTAATTTATGAGAAATTTATGAGAAGAAAGCAAAGACATCACTCGTGGTGAAAACAATGTCACGTGGTGTTATTTCTTTTTGGCTGTAGAGCAGACAGAGGAATGCTGAAGCCCAGTGTGACAACCACTCCACATCAGAAAAGCCTATCTGTATCAGTGATGGATCAGGCACACGGAGATCCATGTGCCACTTCAGCCCTAGCTGTGTCGACCTGCTGCAAGGAGCCACAGGGCTTGTAGGAACTTGGCTGAAGGCAGAGCCAGCCTAGAGTGCAGCACCAGAACCTGGGTGGACTGCAGCCCAGAGCAATCGAATGCCTGTGATAAACATGGGAAGTATTTCTTACCAGCCTCTCTTTTTAGGAGCGGGGGGGAAAAAAAATTAAAAAAAAAAAATAAAAAAATCAGCTGTTACTCAGACATCTTCTGAGTTTTTGGTCCAACTCCTGCATTTCTGAAGTTAAGACCCACAGCTACTCAACGGCTTTGCTCCCATGGGCCGTGCTCCGGAGGAGCAGTTCCAGCTGCTCACCCAGCTGCTCTTTCACTCCAGCTGCAGCCTTACCTCACAGCAGCACCTACTATCAAATGGGGCACGTTCAGTTCAAAATACACACGCTGATGAAGGAGACAGATTCCACCTCTGGTCTCTCTGCACCGTCCACTACACAAAAAAGATGCTGTACGAATACTCAATATTGCTAAGCTCCAGATAAGAGGGATGCAAGTGAAGAAAAGCAGGCACCCACCTCCCCTGTCTTGAGGGCCTGAGAAGAAAAAGAACTTGCACAACATATTAAGGTTCAGATAAGCATCACTGCTGTGTGATCAAAGATTTCGGAAGACAGCATGAGCAGCAGGATACACGTTCTGGTCTGTGTGCTGAAGCAGCAAAACCAACCAGCTCCATAGGGGCAATTTTTGAACAGAACCCTCATTCTGCTTCTTGCTTCACTAGCTTCTGTACACTCTCTGTACTACATTCTCCTCTGCAGACGTTGTACAGGAGTTTAACACAGTTAAATGGAGGAAGGTGCAATTCTGAAGACAGAGACAGCCACAATACAGATGAAAGCTGTGGGTTTTTAAACCACTCTTAATTTCCCCAGATTACACTATCTGTTCATCACAAATCAAAAGTCACCTAGCCTGCTGTTAAAATCCAGATAAATTATTTTACTGCGCCCTTTTAAAAAGCTCTGATGTCTTAGGAGATGCAAGCTCCTCAAACCACTAAAATTGTGATGATACTGCTTACCAAGAAGCAAGGAAACAGGAAGATAAAAGATAGACTAAATGCTTTGTTTTCCCAAATGTACAAAGAAACACTTCTACTCATGTTTCTCCCCCAGGGCTTTCAATATCATACTTTGGATCTGATATTATTAACTCTCTGCAGCTAAGAATCAGAAGCACGGATCTCAGTTTACACAGCTCCTAAAATTGGGCAGGTGGATGTATGTTGAAATTCCTCAAGAAACAGAGAGAAAATTCAGTGGACGAAGAAAGGAAACCACAGTGACTGAGAAAAACCTACAGGAAATAAGGAATAGTGACTTAGGCTAGACAAAAATAAGGTGAAACGCCATCTCTCCTGGAAGAAACATGCCTGCTTCAGTGTATGGAAAAGCCCAACGACAGAAGGCTGCTGTCTCAAAGTTCCAGTTGTCACAAGAAAGGAAAGGGGAAAAAAAAAAAAAAAAAAAAAGAGAAAGAAGTGAGTCATCATTTAGAAGGCTCAGAAAGAAAATCTCATATCCAGAAGATAAAAAAGAAACACTAACTTCACTTCTCTCAACAAATCACTGAATAAATCAAGAGATGGTAAAAATCAGCAGTTAAGAACCCCTTCAGGCATTCAGATTGCCATGACCTAACGCCGCACTAAGCACAGAACAATTTCACTCTCACTCTGACCAGGCATACAGAGAACCTGAGCACTCTATCTGAAAATGAACATCCTGCCAAGTCATATTTACAGAACTTTCACACCCAGCATCCCTTTGGCATGTTACATACGGAGGTACATCAGCTGTTTCTCAGCAGCTTTAGATGGATTTATAATGGCATGTTTTCTCCTTTCTAAATTATTTTCTTCTACTCTTGGTCAATACTATCAATGTAGATCCAGAAACACAGAGGTTCTCCTTTCACAGACTATCAGATTGAAATGCAATTCAGCATTATTATCTTCCAGAGAAGAAAGAACAGAGAGTAAAGAAGCTTGGCTTCTGAATTCCAGGAATTCAGGGGTCTTCCACCTGGTAGAAGGCACTACACAACAATCCAGGCTTTCTGTTTGCTCCCCACCATTTCTGGATTCCAGAGGCTGCTTTTTAATCTAGTCCATAAACTATGTTACAGAAATAGGAATCATTGGAGAGGGGGAAAATAAACCGATGTGAATTTCACAGACTGGAATGCAGCAAAGAAGCCTCTCCAAAGCAAAAGACCTGCGTTACGCTAGAGACAGACCCTCCATGCCTTAATATCCTCCTGCAAGACAAGATTTTCTTGTCTCTGCTCTTCCATAAGCCAGAAAGCTTGGCTACAAAAGAAAAAGGAACTAGGCAAGAACACAAGCATTTACATCCCAACTTTCAGGAACGTGTAACAGCCATCTAGAAGTAACTTGCTCTTCTTCCAAGTTAGCATAAGCAGGCAATTCTCTATTCAAAGAAAAAGATGCATCTTCCCCAACTCTACTGCCTGCTTACTGCACAATGAGATTGAGGAAATTCATGCTGTTGTGCTACGCAGCTGGAAACAGAGCATCCACAATGTGACAGCTCCTCCTCAGTCCTTTCACCTGTCCAAAGCACTGATCACTTCTGAAACCCCTGCTTACACCACCAGCTACTCAAACATGAAACACAGCCCTATGCTTTACGACTAGAGCTGGTAGGTGGCCAGGAGCACAAACCGGGCAGCAGACAATGACTGACAGCCAAACCCCACAATATTGTGGGGCCTGAGATCATGGGATCCCAAAATAAGCACGCTCCAAGTGTTGTAACGCTTGTCATAAGGCAGATTTCTAACTGTTCTTTTACAGCCACCATTTTGCTGTTTGATGATGCGACAGGTGGAGGGCTTAGCTGTTCCTCCTACTAAGACACATCCAGCCTGACAGGTTTTGTTTTGTTAAAGCACACACACACAAACTTCACAGCCATAATAGAGAACTCAAGTTCAGAATCATACCAGCAACCTCAAAAGCCTCCTACACATTCACCTCCTCCCCTCAAAATATAGATTTTCTTCTGCAGGCCTTTTACTTACCTCTCCCATAGCCCGTCCTTCCAGAGCAAGCGCTTGAAAATCATGGTTCAGCTCATCCATAGAACGCACCTATTCACAGATGGGTGAGAAAAGCACATGAGGAAATGCTTGGGTGGTTTTTTTTTTTGTTATTATTATTATTATTATTATTATTATTACAGTCTACAGCATTTTTTCTGAGACAAACTATGAGCTACAGTCTATATTGCAGCACACAACAAGGCTACTGAGCACCAAGAGATGACTTACCTTTAAGATTCCCAGAAGACAGAACTCTTAGCATTAGATTTATATATGCACAAAAAAAGGCAAAAACAACAACTACTTTTAAGACACAAAGACTAATGTAACCACCTTTGCCAAGTTTATTTTGAAGATCAATCTTTCACACTGAGGTGCATCATTTCAGGAAAAGCAGTTATTGCATAAGAAAACAAATCAGGAGCATTTCCTCTTAAGCAAGACCAAATTAAGACTTATAAAAGCAGCAGACTTACGTTCAACCTACAACAACACAAAAAACAGTGCTAGAAACAAAAAGCAAATTAAACAAAATAGAACTGCATAAAACAGGAGGCAGGGGATGAAGAAAGGAGAGCAAGCAAAGTCTTGATGTCACCTCAGGTATTTTACCCTTATCAGTGCTTCAAGCTGTATCCCAGGGCTGCAGAAGGCCCTGAACTCCTCATGGGGTCTCCTCTTTCCCAGGGGGTCAGCAGTGTGTGCGGCAGCCCCGCAGCACCCAGGACTTGCAAGCTGAGGCAAGGCACAGGTGAGAGCAAGCGGCTCCCTCCCCACCTCTGCAGGCGCCATGCTGCTGGGCACGCCGGCCTCCTGCTCACTGCAAGGCCTGCAGCCACACTACAGCAGTGATGCAATTTTTCTGCTGCTGCTCTGGATCACGATTAGATAAAAACGGTTTCAATTAGAACAGCAGAAAGCAGCAGTTTAGAACTGTTAGCTAAATCAATCAGTAATGGAAAATACAAGAAAACATGGTGTTTTGGTGTTTTTCTTTTTCCTGATTTGCACCCCCAAATCTCATCCAGGCAAACTCCTGCAGATGTAGCCATTGAGCATACGTGCAGAAGCAGGAGATAAAAACAACACCATGGACTTGAGGACGAAGCACAGAAGTTCAGCCCCGTGCCAAGGTTCAGGTTCATTTGCTGCCCTCCCCAGGTAACAGGCCTGAATCAGCGCAGCCCTCATTACAACAGCCACAAGCACTTTGGATGGCACACAAGCAACACTACACACCTACTGTGTGTACCTGCAACCCCACAGATCTGATACAGGTTTCTGTTGGAGCAGTGGTAATAGTTTATACAACATTTATTTATGAGTAATCCACACATTGTCACTGCAGCCCTTTTACAGGAGCTTTTCAGGATGCTGAAGACACTGTTTAGCCATCTCACCACTTGCAGGCACCTCTAGGTCAAAGGAATGAAGTCAGTTATAACATCTGGTGGCTGACACAGCGTAAAGGAAAAAAACCTGGCTGAGACACTCGCACACCATCAGTGCTGCAAGCAGTCACACCATGCTCACTGGTCTGAAGCCTGACTGCAGCTTTTGGTATTCCTACCACTATTTCCAGCCCAATGGAGTCAAGACCTTACTATGAGTATGCTTTGTTTCTGTTCTAAGACAAGATTCAGTAGACCTCATCCAAGAATATCAGATACAAGGAAAGCAAAGTCCTCTCCAGTGCCAGTTCTGCTACTATTCTGTGACAGCACTGCTTTGCAAAAGATTAACAACATGTTGTGAAATTGTACATTTCTGTAACTGGCAAATCCTCCACGCCCAGTCATGCAGAATCCCAGTTTATTATCATCTCCTAGTTCAAAAGTATTTTCAGTTTTGCTTCAGTGTTGCCACCTCTGGCTGTGACCCTCACACAACTACAAATCCACCCAGAAACAGGACTCCACCTTCCAGAAACCACAGCACCAGTTAACGACCAAGGCTTTGCTCGACTGCCAATTCCGTCACTGATCCACCAGCTAACGCATCTCGGCTGCCTCACGTAAGAACAAACTGCAAAGCAGTTCCAGCTGAACTGATGGGAAATGTGACAACCCCCAGACATGCCATGCCACAAACGCTGAACAGCAGCAGCCTGTCATTTCAGTGAGATACGTGAGGAGGAGAGAGGCTAAACAAAGGTTCAGAAGGTGATGTTCGTTACTCTCAGTGCTAAGGCAACGACCCAGCAAACCACAGATGCAGCCACAGTGGCACAGCTCCAGGACTTGCAGCACAGTGGAAAGTGCTAATGCAGAAACACAGGCTGCTTCATGGCGCTCCCTCCCAGCTTCACCAAAACAAACTCCCACAGGTGGATGTTCTGCTATGGGAACCTGAAAACAAAGCTGCAACAAAGATACCATCACTACATTCCTAGCAGAAATCAGAACTTCAAGAGATGTGTCTACTTTGCTCTGATGGCATCCCAGCCCCAGCAGCTCCAGCAGCACAAACATCCCCGGTGAGAACTCCTGGCAGAACATGCAGCTAACTGCTGAACAACTCCATTTCTTCTCTCAGTGCCTCTACTCTCCTTCACAATGCTCTGGAACGTTACAAAGTCCACTGTACTCTATCATAAACATAATTTGTTCACGAAGATTGCTAGAATCTGTATTAAGTCACATCAGATGCAAGAACATTTTTAGACATTTCTCATTCAAGTACTTTCCTTGAGTAAAAATGTTATAATGTAATGAAAGCATTCCCAGCAGCACACATATGCGACTTCCATCCGTGTGTGCAGCCACACTCCCACTTGCAGGCACCTCTAGGTCAAAGGAATGAAGTCAGTTATAACATCTGGTGGCTGACACAGCGTAAAGGAAAAAAACCTGGCTGAGACACTCGCACACCATCAGTGCTGCAAGCAGTCACACCATGCTCACTGGTCTGAAGCCTGACTGCAGCTTTTGGTATTCCTACCACTATTTCCAGCCCAATGGAGTCAAGACCTTGCTATGAGTATGATTTGTTTCTGCTTTAAGACAAGAGGCCTGACTTCTCTGTAGAGAAGCCAAAGCTGCTGTACCTATTGACAAACACCAGCATCTCCAGCACGCTCAAAGCCTTTAATGCAAATTCACAATCTCTCACCAAACTCACAATAATACAGCAATCCTAATGATTATGGATTAAAATATTTTCTAAATCAGTTCCCTAAGCCCAACTCCTGGGTACTGGATGCCCAAACTGCATATAACTACCATATGAGATCCCCTTCTCAGTCACATCATTCCTTTGCCTTCACTGAGCATCTTACTGATTTGTCTGTAATATAAACTTGCTTATTATTCCATTTCCTAAGGCCATACCCAAATATCCTATTCTCATTTTTCCACTTCATAACATCAACTAGCAACATCCCTTCATTTTCTTCCGTGAGGTGAACATGACATCAGAGGGTTCCTTTATTTCCATTCAAACAAGGATAGATACCTTCTCAAACAGCAGAACTTTCAACCAAAGCCGTGACTGCTTAGAGCTTTGTGTTCCAAAAGACAGGCTACACCCTGAAGTGGTAAATGGGATATAAATGGCCTCATGCCTCACTGGGATCTACCCCTGTTAGCTCTTGCTGCCCTACAACAAGCACGGACATGGAGGGCAGCACCACGACTGTGCAGGCACTGGAAACAAGGAGGTCCACTGAGAAAGAACTTATGCACAGATCAGCATTAATGTATACAAGATCTGATTATCATAAAATGTATTTCACTACCCAACTCTGGTTTTGAAAGAAATCCAGAAGACAGTGCCAAGATAAAGTGGCTGCACAAGGAAGAGCCCCCGCTATCACTACATGGACGGTAAGCCGGTTCCCTGGAAGAAGAGGTGATCTTGAGAAACACCAGGGATGACAGCAAGAGAAGTCAGCTGTCTGTATTCACAACCACCTCAGAAGCCAGCCAACAAAACAGGCTTCTTGAAAAGCCCTCAGCTGCAGCCCTCAGCCTCTTCCAGGCACTCCAACCCGCAGAGCACAACACAGCACTTCACCACTTGCACAGAACGGACCTCTCGACCCTCTATGAAGAGGGCTCAGGGCTCACTCTCTGGCAACGCAGAAAGCCAGCAAGCCTTCTTTTGAAGCCTGCTTAACAACATGAAGGCCTCTGAGCTGTCTTTCAGAAAAGCTGATTCTGAATGAGTTACACAGCAATCCCATTGCACAGGAGTGTGCCTCACCTTCACGCCGTGCTGCGTGCGCGCTCAGGGATCATGTAAATCTCACCAAACTTAATGAGTATCTCATTCAAGTCAAGTCATTTCTATGCACATTAATATAAGAATGTGTGTCACTGGAGCACACTGCAGCTCAGAGCCACTCTGTTGGTGCAAGTTCTAATGCTGTCTGCCTGCAAGCTGTGCCCATGGGCTGCAGCAAAGCCCAAGGCTGCTCTGTTCCGCTCTCTCTGAAGCCCTTTAACCAATTCTCACCTTTGCTCTGAAAAACACACAATAAATAGATAGCTGTATTACTCAGTACTCACTTTAGATCAGACCTCCAATTCTCATTTGCAGTTTCATGAAATAAAAACAAAAAAAAAACAAAAAAACAAACAAAAAAAAACCACACAACATCACCAGAGCTACTCTGAAGCCAAGAAGAACTCAAGCCCTTTTGAATTTCAATAGCTCTGATCCCCACTGCCTGTGTTAGAGAGGACAAGACAAAACAGAACACTTTCTACTCCTACCTACTGTGGATTTCAACAGCACAAACCAATTTATCTCTGGTCAATGGTCACTTCCCAAACTCAGCCTCCCACGCAGCAGTAGAGCTTGTTGGCAACTGTGCATCAGATACATCACTGCAGATTTCCAGCCCCTTAAACAGCAGGCAGCTGATCCATGTTAGGTAGTCAATGCATGCAGGACAACCACCTCTTTTTTCTCTAAATTAGATTAAGTTCTGCAGCATTGAAGCCCTGTAAATGACAGCAACTCAGAAGCAAACACTTCCCCAGCCTCAAAGCTACAGACACTTGTTCTGCCACACCTGGAGTGCTTCTCAGCTGCATCAATGTGGC